AAGTCCTCTAAGATTTTCTTGATATATTTGGGTGCCCCCTATGTTTGGTGCATATATGTTTACAATGTTAATGTCTTCTTGGTGGATTCTTCCCTTGAGTATAATGAAATGACCTTCTGGGTCTCTCTTTACAGCCTTTTTTTTGAAGTCTATTTTGTCTGATATGAGAATTGCTACCCCAGCTTTTTTTTCTTGTCCGTTTGCTTGGAAAACTTGTTTCCAGCCTTTCACTTTTAGTCTGTGATGGTCTTTTGTCCTGAGGTGAGTCTCTTGTAGGCAGCATATGTGTGGGTCATGCTTTCTTATCCATTGAGCTATTCTGTGTCTTTTGATTGGAGAATTTAATCCATTTACGTTTAAGGTTATTATTGATAGGTACTTATTCATTGCCATTTTTGTACCTGTGTTCCTCTCTGTCTCCCTCTTATCCTTCCTTCCCTTAAAGCAGTCCTTTTAGTATTTCTTGTAGAGCTGGTTTGGTGGAGGCATATTCTTTTAGACTTCTTTTGTCTTGGAAGCTCTTTATTTGGCCTTCTATCTTGATTGAGAGCCTTGCTGGGTAAAGTAGCCTTGGTTGTAGGCCTCTGGTTCTCATTACTTGAAATATTTCTTGCCATTCTCTTCTTGCTTGAAGTGTTTCCATTGAGAAGTCGGTAGCTAACCTTATTGGGGCTCCCTTGTATGTTATTTCTTTTTTCTCCCTTGCTGCCTTTAAGATTCTCTCTTTGTCTTGGAATTTTGCCATTTTGATGATGATGTGTCTTGAGGTGGGCCTCCTTGGGTTCCTCTTGATTGGGACTCTCTGTGATTCCTGGATTTGTGAGACTTTTTCTCTTATCAAATTAGGAAAATTTTCTCTCATTACTCGTTCAAATACGTTTTCTATCCCTTGTTCTTCTTCTTCTCCTTCTGGTATTCCTATTATTCGTATATTATTGCGTTTCATATTGTCTTGCATTTCTCTTAAGCCCTCTTCATTCTTTCTGAGCCTCTTTTCATTTTCTTGCTCTTTCTGTGAGATGCTTTCTACCTTGTCCTCCAACTCTCTAATCCTATCCTCCGCTTCATCTATCCTACTTTGGAAACTTTCTACTGTGTACTTCAATTCGGAAATTGTATTCTTCATTTCCTCTTGTCTCTTGCTGATGGTTTCCATTTCCTTTTTGATGTTGCTGTAGTTTGCAGAGAGATCATTATAATTTCCCTGTAGTTTCTGGTAGCTCACTGTGAGCTCTTTGAGCTCTTTGAACTTCGTAATAACCAGTGCTTTGAATTCACTGTCTGATAGTTGATCAGCGTCTATTTCATCTAACATTCTTTCTGAAGTTTCTGCTTTTTCTTTCATTTGGGGATTGTTTCTTTGTCTTCCCATTGTTTGAGACTCTTCTTGTTAGTCTCTGCTTCCAAAATTGATCTGTTCTGAATCACTGGTTTTATGGTGTAAACTTCTGTGGTATGTTCCTTGTGAAGTTCAGTGGTACAGACTCCTTGAAGTTTCTTGATGTTCTTCGTCTCCACCTACACTCTCGCTGGTCCTCGCACTGGTCTCTGCGTTGGTCGCCTACCACTGCTGAATGTCCCGGCTCTAGTAGCCGCCTCCTCAAGCACCCAGGCCCGTTACTAGGGCAGTGGCACAGAGGCTGGGAATGTCCTGGCTCCCGTATCTGGCTCTCTCTGCCGCCCAGGGCCGTCACAGGGGCTTGGAGTGTCCCGGTTTCCGTACCTGACTCCCCGGCGTCTAGTCCTGTCTCTATGGCAGTGCCACAGAGGCTTAGAAAGTCCCAACTCCCGTACCTGATTCCCCAGTGTCCAATCCCCTTGCTATGGCAGCAGCACAGGGGTTGTGACCCTCCCAGTTCCCGTAGAGGGATCCTCTGAAACCCCGGGCTGTCTCAGGGGTTTGGAGGAAGCTTTGTCTTTTATTTGAATGAGATTGGTGAGTATAGAGAAAGGACCTTAGTATTATCTCAGCAGCATATTTAAACACGTGAATATTTCCTAAACAAGAAACATCTGGAGGTAAGATAATGGGAACATTGATTTGTAGTAAATGAAATGCAATGTAAAAGTGCACTTAAAAACTATATGATTGCTCGTTAACCTTAGAGTGCGTGCCCTCCCCTTTGGTTTTCTTTTATGTTCCAAGGGCATAGATCTTCTTTCCTACTTTTCACTGAAATGCACTGGTAGTACCTTCACTGAGATGTCTGAAAATTGATCAGATTTAAAAGCTGAGGGTATTTTCTGTGTTGTTTTAAAGTGTAAGTGAAGGAATGGTTCTTTAAAAAATTACAAATCTGATTCTGTCTTTCTGTTCTTAGTACATTTTTGTAGAATCAGTGTATTGGAATGTCTAAAACATATATTTCCTTCCTATTTTCAGAAAGACACTTTATTAAAAAGTAATATAAAACCTAGTTATATAATATAGACCATACAACTAAAGATTATAAATTTATGCAAGTTTAACTGAATTTTGTAGCTTGAAATCTGGTAATATCCACTGTTTTATGATCTTTAAAAAAGATCGATACAGAAATGAGTTTACAGTAACAAGCTAATTACTCACTATGTAAATACTTTTTTTTAAATTCATTTTTAGAGAGAGGGGAAGAGAAGGAAAGGGAGAGAAATATCAGTGTGTGGTTGCTTCTCACTCACCCCATACTAGGGACCTGGCCCGCAACCCAGGCATGTGCCCTGGCTGGGAATTGAACTGGCAACCCTTCGGTTCACAGCCCATGCTCAGTCCACCGAGCTACACCAGCCAGGAAAAATACTTATTTTAAAAAATTTATTAAAACAAGACTTTAGATGATTGTTAACCTTTCAGAGGAAAAGATCAACAAGTGCAATTTTGGTAGCCATCTCTAACTTTGGCATTATAATATGAAAATTTCTCATACTGTTACAGATAATGTGATATACTATGATGAAAAGAGCATGAAGATCAGAATTACCTGATTTGAGCTCTTCTACTAACTAATAAGCTTATTTCCTATAACCTTGGGCCAGTTTCATTTTGTTTTGTTTTTAACTTCTTTTAGCCTCAGTTTTCTTACCTTTGAAATAGCCTGTCTTCGTGCAGCACTCACACTGGGTATCCAGAGATTAGCTAGGCAGTCTCTGCCCTTCTCCAACCCATTTGTAGGAGACAGACGTTAAACAAATAATTGCACATTTAATTATAGTTGTGATGAATGTATGGAGGAACATATAGGGTGGTAGAAATATAGAAAGTTGGGGCAATCTGATCTAAATTGGGAGCCAAGGAAGGCTTTCTTGAGAAAGGACTATTTGAGGGAAACCCCAAAGGAGTTTGGTGTAGGTGCAAAGTACAAAGAAGGGAATATTTGATGGAGGAGAGAGCGTGTGTGAAGACTCTAAGGCAGGTAGAGGCACAGTGTAGACACTGAGGGGGAGACCCACCTTGGAACCCAGGTCTTACAGAGCCTTTTACTGTACTAAGGCTTTTAATTCCTATTTTAGGAACACACTCAAGGGGAAAAAGGCAAGTGATGTAATCATATTTGTGTATTAAAAAAATTACTCTGGCTATAGTGTGGAGTATGGACCTGAGAAACAAAGATGGGTGTGGGAGACCCGCAGAATGCAGGTGAGAGTAGTGGTGGTAATGTGCTAAAAAGATGGGGGGATGAAGACAGAGAAATGAATGGATTGGCCGTGTGTTTAGGAGGAAAAAATAAGACTTAGTAATGGTACAGTAAGGGTAGTGAGTGACTACCAACATTTATCGAATGTCTGCCAAGTGTCAGGTATTATGCCTGATACTTTTACTTGTGTGGCCTGTCTTACTTAATCCTCATAGCAACTGTAAATTGTAGGCATTATCGTCCTGTCAGTTATACAAATTAGGAAAACAAAGTTTGTAGAGGTTAAATGATTTCCCAGGCTAGAAAGTGGCAGAGCCTTAGCTGACCAATGGCCAGCACCCTTAACTACTAGACTGAAGTGGATGTAAAGGAAGTGTTGGAGAGAGGTAGACAGAGAAGGTACCAAGAATTACCTCTAGGTTCCTGTCTTCCTGGTTTGGTGAGTGGTGGTATGATTCACTGAAGCAAGGAACGTTGGGTGAGGCCCAGCTTTGGGGCAGCAGAGCATTTAGTACACCTCTGTAGTGATCTTATTCAAATTCAAATTATGCTGTGGCACAATCGCCCATGAAATACATGTTGTGTACAGCTTTTGGTTACTTCAACTAGGCTAGAAAATATGCTTAATGACTGTACTGGCCGTATCATAGGGAGGGAACAGTTTATCCATTCCAACTCTACTGCAATAGCTGGCTCATTTTTGTTTATATTTTAATTGTTTCTTATCTTGTCCTCCAGATTATAAACTATTTGTTTAATTCTTAATACCCAGTACAGTGTTTAGCCTGTAATGTGATGTGGATTCAGTAACTGTTTGTTGAAAGAACATAAGAATATTAATTGGCACACATTCTCATAGTACTTTATATACTTGTCAGACAAATTTCACACTCATGTAGTCCCGAATCTATTAAATTTTATTTCCAGCTCTTAGAATGTCTTTTTTTAACCTTACGTAACTCATGTCTTGCATTGTTTAGACATTGGGAAAGTTGCATTGTTTAGACACTAGGAAAATGTTTTCATAAAGTAGATCGAATAAATTATTAGTCTTTTGAAAATAAGGATATGGACCTTGGAAGTTTGTATATACATATATTTTACCCTCATGAGCCTCACTTTATGCTATGCATGTAGTGAAAAATAAATATTTAATAAATGACTTTAGTGTATTCATTAGAACCATATCCATATTTCATATTGATTATCATATTAATGGTTTCAAATCAGTTGTAGAAACCATTTTTAGATTCAGCTGAATATGTGGATACAGTTGTGAATAGTAATCTAAAATTGACTTCTCTCCAAATGCGGTCATTTCTGATTTCTCATTCCTAATATATGCATTTAGCTACTCAGCCTTTTGTTCTTTTTAATCACTGCCAGATATCAGCAGTTTCTCTTGACAATCGTACTGAAGTGTTAGAAGATGGAGAAAACCCACCAAGTAGTCAATCATCAGAGAGTGGATTCACTGAGTTTATACAGTATCAGGCAGACCGAACTGATGACATTGACAGAGAACTGAGTGAGGGGCAGGGAGCAGCTGCCATCCCAATTGGTAGCACGTCCTCTGAGACAGAAACAGCTTCCACTGTGGGATCTGAAGAAACCATCGTCCAGCCCCCTTCTGTAGTCCCTCAGGGGACAGCACCCCGAAGTGTGAAGACCGTCCAGAAGACTGCAATGCAGTGCTGCTTGGAGTACGTCCAGCAGTTTCTCACCAGACTTATCCACCTCTACATTGTTCAGAGTAACTCTTTTCCTCAAGCCTTGGCTGCAGAGCACCATGGGGATCTCGGCAGAGAGCAAGGGGACAGGGAGAAATGGGACATGGATTCACATGGAGATGTAAAAGAGAGAAGCATAAGTAAACAAACCACCTCAAAAGAATACCTTTCTGCCTTTCTTGCTGCCTGCCAGCTCTTCCTGGAGTGCTCAAGTTTTCCAGTTTACATTGCTGAGGGAAACCATGCCTCAGAGTTACATTCTGAGTCAGAAACTGGTAAGGTAGTTTCTGTTTTGTTCATATTTAAATGTTTTCTGTGGTATGCTCTTTTTTCAGTAGCGTTCAGATATTAAAAGTGGGATTTTTAAATATATACACATACTACAGTGATTACTACATAATGTGTGATTAATGTACTGTCTTTCAGTATAGGAAAGTAGATTATTTAATGTGGCAAAAGAAAAGTACTTATTTTTAAAAGTTTATGAAATTCTTGTTATTGCTTATTTTTTAGTCTAGGTGAGAAACTATGGTTTTCTTAACAGCTCCAAACCTAAAGGTAGTAAGTAGTGAAGCTTTTTTTTAATTAGATGGGAAGTTAAAAGTATGTGTGAAAGGGTTAGTGTGATGAACGCTGTTGGCTTCCGTCTTTCCTTTCAGACTGGGAGCATGTGCAGCCTCCACTGTGGCTCCAGACGCTGATGAACGCTTGCAACCAAGCAAGTGATTTTAGTGTGCAGAGTGTTGCTATTTCACTAGTCATGGACCTGGTGGGACTGACGCAGTCTGTGGTCATGGTCACGGGGGAAAACATCAACGGTGTGGAACCTGTACAGCCCTTAAGTCCAAACCAGGGAAGAGTGGCTGTGGTTATTAGACCGCCCCTCACGCCAGGCAATCTGAAGTACATAGCTGAGAAGACTGAATTTTTCAAGGTAAATTCTAAATAAATTAATGACTAAGGTGGTACTTGCCCTAGTTTACATAGCAAAAAATTTAAAGATGATAATCAGGCTTAATTGAACCCCTCAGTGTCACGCTGTGTAGACAGATACCACACTTCATCTGTATGGCTTTGCGCAGCTTGTTTCCCGCTTTGTGTGGAGAGAAAAAGATAAGGGTGAGGGGGATATTAAAGTAAATAAAGGACAAATATGACGGCACTAAGTCCAGGGAGGGAATAATTTCAACTTAAAAAAAAGGAAAGCTGACTTATATGGTAAAAAAATTACTTCCAAGTGATGTGGTTGTGGCACTTGTGCTTCATACAACTTAGCTCTCCAAAACCCCCAGGAAGAGGTTTTCTTCCTGTATGTTGTTTGACTGTCATCCATGGTGTGCAGTGACATTTAGAAAAATGCAGTTTGATTTCTGCAATAGTGCAAATGATGCTCTCTACACAGAAAGAACTTCAAGTATATTTGGACTGTATTACATCTTAAGATGGTAGATTTTTTTATACATAAATTTTTTTTAAAATTTTTATCTGATTTCAAGTCATTACATTCTTTCTGATTACTTCCTCCTGCTGGATTAAGGTTGACTTCCCTAACATTGTGGTGGTAAACCCTGAAAATTGTTGAATTTTTAATAATGCTGTAATAGATCATCAGGTGCTGTGTTAACACATGTAGCTCGGAAATAATATCACCTGTTTTATTTGCCTTAAGTAATTCAAGTATTTGGACTATGAATTATATTTCATTTTGCAACATGTCACTGTGAATATTAATGTATTCAATGTGGGATCTATACCCTCCTAAGGATAATGTATTCCAGCATCACTTCACTAGATGTCACTAACCTAGTGAAATGGGTACTTAGTTTGGCTCTGCAGAAAGTGCTTACATGCCAATGTTTAAATAAATATTATTGAAGAACTACAATAAGGGATTCTGATGACCTGAGTGACCGGAACTTGGGAGGGTGAGAGGCGCCCTTTTAAGTGTCCTCCCAGTGGCATAATGAATGTTAAAGGCCTTCAAGGTCTGACCTGCAGCCAGACTCGTATGACCAGTAGGAAATGTTTATTAAAAAGTTTTCATTTATGGTTTTATAATACTGTCACTCTTACATTTTTTTTCGACAGCTCGTAGCTTTAACATTGTGGGACCAGCTGGGAGACAGGACACCTCAGCACCACCAAAAGAGTGTGGAACTGTTTTATCAGTTACATAACTTGGTTCCTTCTTCTAGCATCTGTGAGGATGTTATAAGCCAGCAGTTAACCCATAAAGATAAGGTAAAGTCATCTTTTCTTATCCTGCGTCAGCTCCCCACTCCCATTATACCGAGTGTAATGTATGGAAGCTCTAGGAAAACGATTGCAGCTAGTCTCTGAATAACAGAGAATATAGCTTTGTTCACAGTGGTTTTAGTATCTTTAAAATACATGTTCTGTTCTTCTTAGAGGAAAGTTCTTTACAAAAGCATCAGTAACATGAAAATCATGTTACCCCAAATCAAACACTGGGTTTATTTCTTGGTTCAGGGCACCAGTTATCAGGCATGCTGATTAAAGTTGTTGCTGGACCAAGTTCTTGAGTCATAAAGGAGGAATCAGTGGACCCAGTTGTGATACTGATGGATACATTAACATATGGGAAATGAAATAACATGTTGCACTTATAAGCTATAGAATGCTAATATGTGAGATTATATTATTTTTATTATAGTATATATCCAAAATAAGGATTTGTATTCTAATGTGTAGGAAGTGATACAAAAGTCAGAGTAAAGATGTCTGAGTTATGGGTGAGCCTGAGAAGAAGCTGGAAAAATTATTCTGGTAGATCTCTTCTGGGTAACTTAATGAAGTTTGTGGTCTTCCTGCACCTGCTCTGTAATATAAATTAAAGCTTTTATTGAATATCTTTCAGAAGTGCCCTAATGGAACAAAGCCTCAGTGCTAGTGAGTGGTAATGATTTCTATTCAGATAGGCATTGTGTTGAATAAATGGGACACTTGGCAGGGTGTGCAAGTGGCAAATGAAGGAGTAAATGAGGAAGAATGAAAAGCTTGTTCCCAGGAAAATGTTAAAATTATGTTTAAGCTTCAGTCCATTCTTTCAAAACTGTTCAGAAACAAAAATTTAAATAAAGCCTTGCATTTAATAATTTGTTTTACATTAAGTATAAATTTAGGACAGATTTTATACCTGTTTACCTGCAAAACATTTCATTTGCAAAGACATACTGAGTTCTAAATAAAGATACTGTACATCCATGAAAAAAAGTTAAAATGCCTTTTATTACTTCTTTTGTTTTTACATATGTTTCTGTTGGCTGAGGTACAAACACTGCTTAACAGGAAGGGCATTTATGAAGCCCACAGAAAAAGAGCAACTCATCACTCCTTTTGACCCATCACAAGCAATTTAAACAGTTGCAGTTCGCGGTTCTGAGGGGCTATTACTTGAAGGTTTCTACAAATGCTCAAGAAAAATGATAATTTTTTATATCAAAGTTTCTACTTGATTTACATTAACATGTTATTATCTAATATGAAGTGCTTATCTTTCTAAATAATTTTCTTTTTACATTGTCCTATGCATTGTGATTGTAACACCTGATCCTTTCCAAATAATTGCAAAAGTAGTATAGTATTTTTCTTATAGAAATAATTTTGAGGGGTTTAAATTTTTTAATCTAATAAACCAACTTTGTAAGTGATAGTAAATTAATTTTGGGTTAGTATGAGGAGGGAACCAAAAACCTCCTGGAATTTATTTATAAAAAAATGTATTCTCACAATTTTAAACTTTAGTCACCTTCAAAGTACTGTCCATTTGATGAGATACACCTATTGAGACATTTTTTTCCACAGCTCAAAACATGTTTTTGAACTCATCTATTTTGATGTGTTTAGTATTTCTGCCAATTTTTGTTTCACCTCTTCCACATCAGCAGAACATTTCCCTTTGAGGACATTTTCATTCAAGAAAAAAATAGATCGCTTAGGGTGAGATTGGGAGGTGAGGGTGAGTGGAGCATGGGGTTATGCCATTTTTGGTCAAAAACTGCTAAACACTCAGCACGTGTGGGCAGGCGCACTCATAAATCACCCATCATGAAATGGACAAATGCGTTGAAAGAGTCTTCAAAACAAATTTACTGAAGCCAAATGCAGCCTCTCACAACAACACCAGCTGGTACACTGATACAGATGGGTTCCTAGAACAATCACCTAGTGGGGGGACAGATACTGTACTAAAAGGGGCCTGACCTCCAGAAAATAATTTCTTTTTTCCCCAGGCCCCCGTGTATATAATTTTAAGAGCAAAAGTAAATCCTACAGTATAATAAAACCAATTTTGACTACTAAGCATTTATATTAAAATGAGGAGGACATGCTTCCTATACTCAAGATATAATGATGACTTGCACATTATCAGCTTTTTTCATATAGTAATCTAGTAAATTGATTACCTAGTCTAAACTGAATAATTGTGAGGCAGCATGAGGTGATCCTTTAGGTTTAATATTTTTTATATTCTTAAGTATTTTCTATGTTTCTACTTACCTGAAAAAATAGTTTATTACATTGTGCTTTAGAGTATCATGAACATTGAATATAACTCTCTTAAATAGCTACTTTGATTTTGCCAAAACACTTATCTTCAAATGAGAATAAAGTAATTTAATCTCTTATGTTCCCTCTCAGAAAATAAAGATGGAAGCACATGCAAAGTTTGCAGTTCTTTGGCATCTAACAAGGGACCTCCATATAAATAAGTCTTCATCTTTTGCACGTTCTTTTGACAGGTTGGTTACATTTTATATTCAGATTTTACAGCCAGATATCATAATGTCTCTTTTGTTGACTCCTCAGTTAGTTTGACAGGAGTAGGCAATAGCAATTTTCATGTTTAAAAAAATTTTTTGATCCTCACCCAACAATATGCTTATTGATTTTAGAGAGAGAGGAAGGGAGAGGGAAAGAAACATTGATGTGAGAAAGAAACATCTATCGATTCCCTCCCACACACGCCCTGACTAGGGACTGAACCCGCAACCTAGGTATGCGCCCTGACTGGGAATCTAACCCTCAGCCTTTTGGTGTATGGGTTGGCACTCCAACCAGCTGAGCCACCCAGTCAGAGCATCAATTTATACGTTTTATAAATAAAATTTAAAAAGTATTTAAGAATCTAAGCTATATTGAAATTCATGGCATTTTCATTTATCTGCCAGATTTTCCCTTTCTTGTTTGGCCCTGTCCTTTGATTTGATGACTATTAATCAAGCCCCTGCAACATCGTAGGTTCCATTCCATGTGTCAGGAATACAGCAATAGAGACAGTTTTCTTGAGTCTGTATTCACGTCGAGTGAGATCAGATATAAACAGTAGATTGTATAAGTGTTTCTCTAGCAATTATTCTCAATCTTCTGCCTGAACTGGACTTATTAAAATTTAAAGCTAAATTACTGAATCGCGTCCCATGGTTTCAGAGAACCTATAACTGCCTGAGAATGTGATTGCTATTTGTCTAGCTTACTTAGATGGCTCATTCCCCAAATACGAGATTTGCACTGACTTCCAAGGGGATGCCATGTATAGCTTAATTCATGTATTGGCATCAGATAAAGCAGTCTCACCAGTGTTCAGAGAGGTGGCCACAAATGCAACTGCGCTTAAAGCCCAACTACATGTTATTTCAGCTGGTGTTTTTCAAGCAGTGTCGCTATCTTTAAATGATCTGCTGTTGAACCTCTACTATGAACTAGGCTCCAGGCCCAGGTACTTCACAAATACCCTCTCTAATTTGGTGACCATCTTTCCTCTTGGCACAAGTGAGACAGTGAAGACCCAGAGAAGTTGTGACTTACCCAAGACCACACGTGAGATAAAGTGGATGGCCCAGATTTGAATCTTGGGTGTTCTGATTCCAAACTGTCCCTCCACACCTTCCATGGAAAGTCTTTCCTTGAATTAAGCACATAGTTTAGATTCATAAAGAGAATGGGAGCAGAGGGCATGGATCAGCGTAGAGATAACACTGCCCAGCATTGTAGGGGGTCCAGTATTTGGTGCCAGGAATATATTGCTAAAACAAGACTAGTTTTCTAAGGTTACTTTTTCTATTCTTTACTATTTATCTTATAAGAATATATTGGTGAAATTTCAAGAAACACAAGTACCTACAAAGAGGGAAAAGACTGTTTTCTCCTTCCTATTGTATCTACTGAGGCTATAGGGATTAAGATTATTAGCATGCTGTGGTCAAAAATTATCCTGAAGTGCAGTTAGTTTATAATAGTTAATTCAAAATAAAAAACACAACTTACAGTATTATTAATCTTAGAAAAATTAGAGTGTCGCAATTAAAGCAAGTGTTTTGTTCTTTAATTATCTGTGTTTATTGTAGGTCACTGTTCATCATGTTAGATAGCCTTAACAGTCTCGATGGTTCTACTAGCTCTGTGGGACAAGCCTGGCTGAACCAAGTCCTGCAAAGACATGACATTGCAAGAGTTTTGGAACCATTGCTATTGCTTCTACTTCACCCCAAAACTCAGAGGGTTTCAGTGCAGCGTGTACAAGCAGAACGTTATTGGAATAAGGCACCTTGTTATCCTGGAGAAGAGAGTGACAAGCATTTCATGGAAAATTTTTCATGCAATGGTGAATATCACATGGAACTAGAAAAGCTTTATTTAGAATTAAATAACTAAAATAAAGTGAGAGCTGAACACAGCAGTGGTTGGTGAGAGAATCGAATGAGATTTGCTCCATGGGCTTGTTTCCTCTCCTCTGCGTGCCCTGGCAGTGCCCTGATGGGCCGTATCAGAGTGTGCTTCATCGATGACCGTGTTGGGGGACTTGAATCTTTCTGATCAGTTGACTCTTCTTTCAGGGGAGTAATCAGCATAGCATTTTTCAGAGACAGTCTTCAGTTTTGATGGAAATACATTTAGATTTTTTTCACAATACTGGTCCTGTGGGGCTCTGTAGATACTTCACTAGGAATGTATAGTAAGCTTATAATGTATATTTATATTTCATGAGTCATTTTCCTTATCTGTAAGGTTGGAATCATAACCCACCTCTCAAGTCATGTTTGTGATATATTTAGTGCAGTGACTGGCATAAGTGTTTGATAAATATTGTTATTACTATGAAACCCACACTTTACAAACTATTGAGTGATGTCCTCTATCATACAGCAATAATGGCACTTTATATTACATTATTATATGCTAGGGACTGTCACTTATCATTTGTATCTCTTGACAAATAACCTGTGAGGTCAGGAATAAAACACTGATTTTACCAAGCAGGGAGCTTATTTTTAGAAGGATGTGCTTTCTCGAAGGCTCACTGCTGGTAAGTGATGCAAGCTGGAACTAAACTGTCACCTTTCATGTTTCTCTACCAAGGCTTGGTTCATTTCCCTAGCTTCCTTTTCAGGGCTTTTTCTGAATCTTCTAAGAAAATGTTCTACCCTGCTAATTGCCAGAACTTCTGTGTTATCACTTGACCTACAACGCTTCCCACCTGACTACTGAATTCTGACCTCTCCTCTGAAATCAGTCTCAGACTTACCTGTGGTACCATGATTCTTTCCCTGAAAGTGGTGGATTTCCTTTGTACCACTCATATGCAACTAACCCTCCCACCCTTTCCAAAAGAATGCCGTCAACATAGTATGCTCTCCAAAAAGTACAGAAATAGATGAATGTATTGGTGCTTCCCTACTAATTTTAAGCTCTTTAGAGAGAACAGTGATGTCTTTTCCTTCTCTCACCCTCATTGTCTATTGGTTTAGGGTCTTACTCACACCAGATAATTCATAAATGTTTTTTGAATTTTATTAAAATCAAGGAGATTGTGTTTTTATACTCCCCTTTAGTGTAACTAAAAGGAGGTATCACACAAGAAGGAAAAAAACACAAAGTTTGTAGTGCAGTAGAAAAGGATATCTTATTTGGGGATAAGGGCACATTTTTATATTTCATCAGCGTTAACTGTGCTGTTCAATTTCAGTGCAATTGAATAATAGGCCTTCAGGTGAATTCTGTTTATTAAACTCTAGTTAGTAGTCATCTATATAATTTTCTAACTTAAAGGGTCTAAAATAGTAATACATGATTTTAATAGTAGCATATAAGTGGGTTTTGAAACTAATGATTACAATCTTAAATTCAGTTTATATTTGTACATTTTCATTATTTTAATATATTTTATATTTTTCCTCCTTTACTGTTTTTCTCATACGCCAGTAAGCCAAGTACAACTCATTGCATCTAAAGGAAATGGTGAAAAGCCGCTTACCATGGATGAAATAGAGAACTTTAGTCTCACCGTTAACCCATTAAGTGACAGACTCTCCCTTCTAAGTACCAGCAGTGAGACAATTCCAATGGTTGTCTCTGATTTTGACCTTCCAGACCAACAGATAGAAATACTCCAGAGTTCTGACTCTGGGTGCTCACAGTCCTCTGCTGGAGACAACCTGAGTTATGAAGCCGATCCTGAAAATGTGAATATGCAAGAGGATTCTCAAATGCCAAATGCAGGCTCCCCAGATGATGATGTTCAGCAGGTAGTGTTTGACCTGATATGTAAAGTCGTAAGTGGTCTGGAAGCAGAATCTGCATCTGTAACTTCTCAGTTAGAAATCGAAACTGTCCCTCCAGGGCACAGCGATGTAGATCCTGGCGAGGAGGCAATTAAAAGTGAAGATCAGTCCATTCAGCAGAGTCAGAGCACTTCGCTGAGTAACGAGAGTTCTCAGCTTCTGTCTGTGTCTGCGGAAGGCGGCTGTGAGTGTGTGGCAAATGGAATCTCCAGAAATAGCTCCTCACCTTGTATTTCAGGAACCACACAGACTCTCCATGACTCTTGCATTGCTTCAACAGAAACCAAAGCTAGACAGAGGAGTCACAGTAGTATTCAGTTCAGCTTCAAAGAAAAAGCATCAGAAAAAGTCTCAGAGAAGGAAACAATTGTTAAGGAGTCAGGTAAACAACCAGGGGCAAAACCTAAAGTAAAACTCGCCAGAAAAAAGGATGACGACAAGAAAAAAACATCAAGTGAAAAACTCAAACAAACCAGCGTATTCTTTAGTGATGGTCTTGATTTAGAGAACTGGTATAGCTGTGGAGAGGGAGACATTTCTGAAATTGAGAGTGACATGGGTTCTCCAGGATCACAGAAATCTCCTAATTTCAACATCCATCCTCTCTATCAGCACGTGCTTCTGTATCTCCAGTTGTATGATTCATCAAGGACTCTTTATGCTTTTTCTGCCATCAAAGCCATATTAAAAACTAACCCTGTTGCTTTTGTAAATGCCATTTCAACCACTAGTATAAATAATGTGTATACCCCTCAGTTGTCTCTGCTTCAGAATCTATTGGCCAGACACCGAATTTCTGTTATGGGCAAAGACTTTTATAGTCACATCCCAGTGGACTCAAATCATAACTTTAGGAGTTCTATGTATATAGAAATTCTTATTTCACTCTGCTTATATTACATGCGTAGCCATTACCCAACTCACGTCAAGGTCACTGCACAAGATTTAATAGGCAATCGAAATATGCAGATGATGAGCATAGAAATTTTGACACTTCTCTTTACTGAGCTGGCAAAAGTAATAGAAAGCTCAGCAAAGGGTTTCCCTAGCTTTATCTCTGATATGTTATCTAAGTGCAAAGTTCAGAAAGTAATTCTTCACTGTTTGCTGTCATCCATCTTTAGTGCCCAGAAATGGCACAGTGAAAAAATGGCAGGTAAGAATACGATTGCTGTGGAAGAAGGTTTCTCAGAGGACAGCCTCATCAATTTCTCAGAGGACGAATTTGACAATGGCAGCACACTCCAATCACAGCTTCTCAAAGTCCTTCAGAGGCTCATTGTTCTAGAACACTGGGTAATGATCACCCCTGAAGAAAACGAAACAGGTTTTGATTTTGTTGTATCTGATCTGGAACACATCAGTCCCCACCAGCCCATGACTTCTCTTCAGTATTTGCATGCTCAGCCAATCACATGCCAAGGCATGTTTCTCTGTGCCGTGATACGGGCTCTGCACCAACACTGTGCTTGTAAGATGCACCCGCAATGGATTGGTTTAATCACATCTACTCTGCCTTACATGGGAAGAGTTCTACAGAGAGTGGTGGTTTCTGTGACACTACAGCTTTGCAGAAATTTAGATAATTTAATTCAGCAGTACAAGTATGAAACAGGATTATCTGACAGTAGGTAAGAGCTGATTTTTAACTTTGTTGTCATTGACATTTATCGCATATATGACTGCTTAGCCATCCAGAATGTCAGTCACAATTTGAATAAACAAATTAGTGAATCTCAGAGGTTATAAATAGTATGTTATTTTTTTCACAAAGAAGAAAATTCAGAGTGAGTAAGAGAAACAAAAGAATCAAGATTAGAAAAGAGAAGGGATATTTAAACAGGCCTTTTTCACTCCTAAGGGCTGAAATTAATTATGTTCTTCTTGACTATGCTGGCAAAGTAATAGAAAGCTCACTAAAGGGTTTCTTGGATTTTATCCTGCATGTTATCTAAGTGCAAAATAATTTCACACTAAATTAATTTAAAATGAATTCAAAAAAACAAGAAATGGTATTTCTTGTTTTAGAGGTGAAACTCTTCCTGTATCCCCAGGCCGTGTTTAAAATTACTCTGTCAAATTAGCCGCATGTTCAGTAGACTAGTTTCTGGTTTACCTCCTACAGAGTGTCAGTGACGACGTGTGAAATGTCGGAATAGTGCCTGTGCTATTTAACATTTATGTGCCTGCCTTACACAGGTGCTAGAAATGTAGTGACTAAATTTGTTTATTTTATATAAATTTTTTAACCCCAAAAGCCAGCAGTACATTTAATGTGACTTATTTTATAAACTAGGAGATAAAAGCTTTTAATTTATTCTTTTAGGCATTTATTAATATACTATTTATTGGGCACTTATTGTGTGTCTGCTACATGTGGGACATTTACTATTGGTAAAATATGGACTTTTTTTTCTCAGAACTTATGTTGTTCAAATGAATGCATTTTATTTCAGGCCTCTGTGGATGGCATCAATTATTCCACCAGATATGATTCTCACTCTTTTAGAAGGGATCACAGCCATTATCCATTACTGTTTGTTGGATCCTACTACACAGTACCACCAAGTAAGGCTGCACAAATATTCAACTTTTTTTAAAGACTATAAGATACAGCAAGTCCTCATTTATAAGCCTCAGTAAGCAATGTTCTGTTTTTACCCCCCCCCCCCCTTTAATAGCTCTGGGTCAATGTAGACCAAAGACACTTGTTGGAAGCCCGCAGAGGAATCCTCTCAGTCCTTCATATGATCATGTCCTCTGTGACTCTGCTCTGGAGCATCCTGCAGCAGGCGGATTCTTCGGAGAAGACGACTCTTGCTGCATCTGCATCTGCAACCACTATTAATCTTGGAGCCACAAAGGTTAGAAAGTCACACTTCACCTGCAACTCAAGAGTCTATTTGAGCACTTTCCCAAAGGTTATGTTCAGAATTTATGAATAATTTGGTCATATTTATGGCATTCTAATGGATCAAGTAATTATTAAATTTGTAACTGTTTTTTGAGTTGACATAAAATCCACTTAAAATATACCCAACGTAATGATTTTTTTAAATTAATTTACAGAGTAGTGAAACTGTCCACACAGTCTAATTTTCAAACATGTCTGTCACCACAAACATTCCGAATACTCATTTGCAGTCACTTCCTATTCCTGTCGCTAACCCCAGTCAACCATTAATCTATTTTCTCGATAAGTAGATTTGCTTTTTCTGAGCATTTTGTATAAGTGGAATCATACATTATTTGGTCTTTCATATCTAGCTTCTTTCATGTGACATAATGTTTTTGAGGTTTATTCCTACATGTTAAATTTTGTTCCTCTTTTTAAGGGCAGTTTAAGTTGATATTTTATATGCAAACCCTCCTGGAAAACAATTTAACTATATGTGCAAAGAGCTTTAAAGGTTTTATATATTTTTGGCCTTGTAATGAATTCTAAAGTAATCAAAATTATGCAAATATATTTCCATAAGACGTTTATTATAGCCTTATTTGATGGTAAACAAAGAGAGATCCTAAACAATAAATAAGTTAATGGTTAAAAACTTATCCTTCAATGTTACATTATGCAGCTACTAATAATTATAATTTTGAAGAATTCTTGGTGGAGAAATGCTTTAAAGTTTAATAAAACAGGGATATTACCTCATTGAACAAATAGTATATTTCCAATTATGTAAAATAAATTTCCTGGCAGAAAAAAAGAATACAATTCATTTAATAGTGATTATCTCAGAATAATGGAATTACTTGTTTAAAAAACACTTATATGTATTTTCCAAATTACTTTATATTTAGAAGAAAATTATATGAATTCCTAAGAATATTATGCTTTGTCAGTTGTCAAGTTGACATACCTCTATTGCCTAGACCTCACTTCCCAGATTTGTGATCATGGGAACACATCCGGAAATGGGCAAAGAGGAAGGAAGGGTGAGAATAATGAGAAAATGTCTGAGTACTGCTGTTGGGATTAAACTGTGTGGTTTTTGTTTTGTTCAGTTTCATTTAAATGTAAAACCCCTGTCCCTCCCCCATCTTATTAAAAAAGAATCTACATCAAATGTAATTGAATTTCACTTACAGTTGCTCCTGGAACCACACATGGTGGGGAGGTGCTGATCCCCAGTGCATCTGAAAAATCCGTGTGTAACTTTTGACCTCCCCAGAACTTAAGGTTTCCCTCAGTATCCACTGGGCATTTGGTTCCAGGACCCACCATGGATGTCACAATCTGTGGATGCTCAAGTGCCCTACACACAGTGGCATAGGTCAGTGCGTACAGCCAGCCCTTCACATCCATGCACTCAAAGCCACAGATGGAAACCAATACAGGTATTTATTGGAAAAAAATTGGCATATTAGTGGACCTCACAGTTCAAACCCTTGTTCAAGAGCTAACTGCATTGTGTTTTTCTATTCTTTTATCACATTACTGAGACTCTTGCATTTAGCTGATTGGTTGTTGTCATTTTATAGGGTTTTTTTCCTTTTAGAATTAAAATGACCATGGTCGCTTCTCTTAACATGGTTACAGTTTCCTCTGCTATTATTTAGGTAATAAAACATGTAAGTACTGTAGATTATTCCAAGAAAAACTAAAAGTGCAGTGTAGTTATTAATGCTTACATAATTTTTAATTCACTTCTCATTTGCTTGTTTTAGAACTTGAGACAACAGATCCTTGAATTATTAGGCCCTATTTCAATGAATCATGGTGTTCACTTTATGGCTGCCATTGCATTTGTATGGAATGAAAGAAGACAGAATAAAAACACCAACAGGACCAAGGTATGTATTTAACCATTTTATACTTTTTGTTTTTTTTACTTGGTGAGTATAGTAAGTCCTCATTTAACACTGACAATGGGTTCTTGGAACTGTGGCAAAACAACATGTAATGAAACCAGTTTTACCATAGGCTAATTGATATAAACAAGAGTTAAGTTCCTACAGCATCTCATCAATGTTATAAAGAAATAGCATTGAACAAAATGATGTCATCGAGGACCTATTGTGCAGACTACGTTTCAACTCTTCACTAGTTGCACAAGTCTGGGATGTGGCGTATAGAAATGGGATGTGGTGAAAAGAAACAGTTTGTCTACTGGTTTAGATATGACTTGTTGCCTCAATTTCTTAAATAAGCATAAAATGTACTGTTTCAAGGGGAAAGGCAAATAGTATGATATTAAACTGTAATTGTATTTAAATAGCCATTCAAATACAGTTACAACTGTACCTGTATTTAGATAACCCTGTAATCTAGCAGGGTATATCTTTTAAATGCTAGTTAGCAAGGTACAAAGCAAGGGTATTGAGAAAATTTTTTATCTTCACTAGTTTTTTTTTAAAGATTTTATTTATTTATTTATTGTTAAGGGGAAGGAGAGAAGGAGAGAAACATCAACGTATGGTTGCCTTTAGTGCGACCCCTGCTGGAAACTGGCCTGCAGGGAAGCAACCTGCAACCCAGGAATATGCCCTGACTGGGAATCGAACCGCGATCCTTTGATTCGCAGGCCCGCGCTCTGTCCACTGAGCTACACCAGCCAGGGCTCATCTTCACTAGTTTTTTATTACAATGTGATAGGTAAAATAGTTTTGTTTCTAGATGTAATTTATATATTGGTTTTGATGGGGTTATATCACATTGTAATGAAAATTTTGTTGCTTTGTGATTTTGAAAATTCAGTAACAATATTTTATAGTAAAAATAGTGACTCTATAGAATATTAAGGCTATTGTTTTTACATCCATATAAGTTATATGATTTATGTAACCACAGTTTTCTGATATGCTATTTTTGTGCTGAGTTTACAACACATATACACTGACCTTTCTAAAGTAATAAAAATGAATGTTTCACTTATATGACATTATTTTGCAGGTAAGAATTCACTGGTAGATACCATATTGTACAAAATTGAAATCCTGGGCTATTTAAAAGCAGTCAATTAATATTTGACAAAGGAAGCAAGAATGTACAATGGGGTAAAGAGATTCTATTCAATAATGTGCTGGAAAATTGGATAGATACTTGCAAAAGTAAAATAAAACTAGACCACCTCCTTACATTACATACAAGAATAAACTCAAAATGAACTTTAATGGAGAACTTGAAATCATAAAAATCCTAGAAAATGTAGGCAATAAAATCTTGGATACTTCTCTTACCAAATCTCCTTGGGCAAGGGAAACAAAAAAATGAACAAATGCAACTACATCAAACTAAAAAGTTCTTGCACAGCAAAGTTAGCCATCAAAAGAATGAAAAGACAACCCAGAGAATGGGAGAACATAGTCACCAATGATACACATGATAAAAGGTTAATATGCAAAATTTATAAAGAACTCAGACCCCCCAAAATATAAACAGTCCAACTAAAAACTGGGCAAAGGATCTGAATAGACACTTCTCCAAGGAGGACATACAGATGGCCCATAGACATATGAAAATATGCCCAACATCACTAATCATCAGAGAAATGCAAATTAAAACCACAATGAGATATCACCTCTCACACTTGTTAGAATGGCTACCATCAATAAATCAAAAAACAACAAGTGCTGACAAAGATTTGGAGAAAGGAGAACCCTTTTGCACTGTTGGTAGAAATGCAGATTGATGCAGCCACTGTGGAAATCAGTATGGAGTTACCTCAAAATATTAAAAATGGGTCCTGGCTGGTGTAGCTCAGTGAATTGAGCACAGGCCTGTGAACCAGATGGTCAAAGTTCTATTCCCAGTCAGGGCACATGCCTGGGTTGCAGGCCAGTTCCCAGCAGGGGACATATGAGAGGCAACCATACATTGCTATATTTCTCTCCCTCTCTCCTTCCTTTCCCTTCTAAAGATAAATGAATAAAATCTTTTAAAAATATTAAAAGTGGAACTGCCTTACGACCAAGCAATTTCACTTCTTGGAATATATCCAAAGAAATTCAAAAGAATAAATGCACCCCTATGTTCATTGCTGCATTATTTATGACAGCCAAGATATGGAAGCAACCCAGGTGTCCATCAGTAGATGAGTAGATAAAAAAGCAGTGGTACAAATATATAATGGAATATTATTCAGCCATTAAAAAGACTGAAATCTTGCCATTTGCAACAGCAGGATGGAACTAGAGGGTTTTATGCTAATTGAAATAAGCCAGTCAGAGAAAGACAAATACCATATGATTTCACTCATATGTGAATCCTAAAGAACCATATAAATGAACAAACAAAATGTAAACACTTATAGATACAGATAAGAGACCCATGGTTGCCAGAGGAGAGTAAGTTTGGGGACTGGGTGAAAGATGGTAGGGGGGTTGAGGAGAAAGGGTAAAAAAGGTGAAGGGATTAAGAAGTACAAATTGGTAGTTACAGAATTCACAGGGATGTAAAGTGCAGCATAGGGACTGTAGTCTATAATGTAAGAACTATGAATAGTGTTGGATGGAAACTAGATTTGTTGGGATGAGCATGTAGTAAATTACATAATATCCGATCACTAGGCTGTGCACCTGAAACTGTGAATAGACAAGGATTAACATTCACATGAAAAAAAACTTTTAATATGATAGACAAAGACCAAAAACCTAGATAAGAAAAGTCAAAAGAAATAAAGCAAGTAACAGAGGAACATGTAAACAATAATAATAATGTCCTTCAATAAGTGAAACCATATTGCATCCATGAAATTAGAAAAGACTAGAAGAAAGATCATTGCAAAATTAAAATTTCTTCATGTGTATTAAACTTCGTTGCAGAAGCAAAACAAAGTATAAGGATTGCCAGCAGAAAAGGGTAGGTACCAGAAATAGAATGTAAATTTAAAGATAAAGAAAATTGGGAAAGGAAGATAAGAATATTAGGGAAGTGACATTGGAGATTCAATAGCTTTTTGCAGAAAGAAGTAACAGAAGACAATGAGGGGGGGAGGGATATCAAAGAAATAGTACAAGAAAAGTCCCCTGACAGTCACTGTGAAGAAGAGATCTACACAAATATCGGTATGGATTTCAGCACACTGGATTTAAAGAGAAGATCTGAAAGTTTTCCTATGGGAAGATACTGGTCCTCTTTTTCACTGGAATAATGATAAGACTGGCCAATAGCAACATTGGAAACTGTGATGGGAAAATTACCTTCAACTGTAATTCTATACCCAGCCAAACTGGATATTACTCAGGATCTTTTGAACCATGCAATATCTAAAAAAAAAAATGCCATAAATTCACTTTTTCTCAGCTGCAGGAAGATGCATCTTCACCAGAGGAGGAATAAACCAAGGAGGAAGAAAATAGGAGCTCCAAGTAACAGGGGTTCTGACATAGGAGAAAAGGAAGAGGGATCTCTAGGCTGGCAGTCACAGGAGAGAGACCAAGATGATGCTGTGTAGCACGCCTAGTGGGTACCAAGCAAGGATAGAACAGGAAGACATTGAACAGATGTTTCAAGAAAAAAAGAGTGAAGAAAAGGAGGAGGAAAGGATAGAATATTATTAATTACCTGATACATTTGAATAATTAAAGGAGATATATACTTGCTGGAGCATTTAGGATGAACTTGTGATAGAATAGAGAAAACCAAGCAAGCAAATAAAATCAGTTTATTCTAGGAAAAACAAAAAGTTGTATGAGAAGAGATGCAATAATAGTATAGTGCATATGCTATCATAAACAGGCAAAATTTTGATAAAACTGTTGGGAAGATAGGGGAAAACATCTAAGAGAGTTCAGTTATTGTCTTCTAAAGTAGAAAGTGAGTAGGTAATATCTAAAACTAAAAAATTTTGAAATATAAAAAATAATTGTGCAATACTAAAAATAATTGCTCAGAAATAATAAAAAGAGCTGAAAGTTGAGCTTGGTTGTTTTGGGTATGAAAAGGGATAAAGAACTGAAATTTTTTCTTATCAGGCTTACTCTATGTGATTTTTCTAAAATGATATACATGTACTTATTATTAATAAAAATAAGTAAATTTTTACCTAAAGTATAATTAAGGGACTTGAAAAGTCCTTTATATTAAGATTAGGCCCTAAATACTCACTAAGTTCTGTGACTTCTGTTAAAAGATGTATACACACACTTACATATGTAAATATTGTTACCCAGGTTATTCCTGCAGCCAGTGAAGAGCAGCTTTTACTGGTGGAGCTGGTTCGCTCCATCAGTGTCATGAGAGCAGAAACTGTTATACAGACTGTGAAGGAAGTTTTAAAGCAGCCTCCAGCCATAGCAAAGGACAAGGTAAGAAGAGCTTTTCTTAGCTTTTCTTTACAGTTCTATTTAAAAAATGATGCTGGTAGGTAAGTTTTGATGTCTTGTTTTTTTGTACAGTAGTGTCCTTTTAGTGGAGATTAATGCACTTGGCACTCTCACTGCCATAATAAAAACAATGATCAGTATCTTCAATGACTTACTGTTGAGATTGTGAAAAACACTTAACTGCTCATGTCACTCTACATGTACATCTAAGGCAGTCATGAACCGTGTGACCTAATTCTTAGGGGAGCTTTCTGTGGTCCTCTAAGGGCAGAACACAGAAGCCAGAGCCCAAGGTCTACTCATCTCAGTTGTTGATTACCTCACAGTTTTTTTATTGCTTTCTTTTTAGAATGAATCAATCAATCAATCTCTCTCTCTCTCTGTTTTTTAAAAAAACATTTTCAATTACAGTTTACATTCAGTATTATATTAGTTTCAGGTGTACAGCATAGAGGTTAGACGCTCATATTTTACAAAGTGTTCCCCCTAACATTCCCAGAACCCACCTACCACCATACACAGTTGTTTCAATATTATTGACTATATTCCCTATGCTGAACTTTATATCCCTGTGGCTATTTTGTAACTACCAATCTGTACCTCTCAGTCCCTTCACCTTTATCACCCAGTCCCTCCAGCCTCCCATCTGGCAACCATGGGTCTCTTATTTGTATCCATAAGTGTTTACATTTTGTCTGTTCATTTATGTGGTTCTTTAGGTTCCACATATGAGTGAAATCGTATGGGATTTGTCTTTCTCTGGCTTATTTCAGTTAGCATAAAACCCTCTAGTTCCATCCTGCTGTTGCAAATGGTAAGATTTCACTCTTTTTTATGGCTGAATAATATTCCATTGTATATATGTACCACTGTTTTTTTATCCACTCATTTATTGATGGACACCTGGGTTGCTTCCATATCTTGGCTGTCATAAATAATGCAGCAATGAACATAGGGGTGCATTTATTCTTTTGAATTACTGTTTTTGAATTTCTTTGATTTATTGATGATAGCCATTCTAACAGGTGTGAGAGGTGATATCTCATTGTGGTTTTAATTTGCATTTCTCTGATGATTAGTGATGTTGGGCATATTTTCATATGTCTATGGGCCATCTGTATGTCCTCCTTGGAGAAGTGTCTATTCAGATCCTTTGCCCAGTTTTTAATTGGACTGTTTATATTTTGGTGGGTCTGAGTTCTTTATAAATTTTGCATATTAACCTTTTATCATGTGTATCATTGGTGACTATGTTCTCCCATTCTCTGGGTTGTCTTTTCATTCTTTTGATGGCTACCTTTGCTGTGCAAGAACTTTTTAGTTTGATGTAGTTGCATTTGTTCATTTTTTGTTTCCCTTGCCCAAGGAGATTTGGTAAGAGAAGTATCCAAGATTTTATTGCCTACATTTTCTAGGATTTTTATGATTTCAAGTTCTCCATTAAAGTTCATTTTGAGTTTATTCTTGTATGTAATGTAAGGAGGTGGCCTAGTTTTATTTTACTTTTGCAAGTATCTGTCGAATTTTCCAGCACATTATTGAATAGACTATCTTTACCCCATTGTATATTCTTGCTTCCTTTGTCAAATATTAATTGACCAGGTAGGTGTGTGTATATTCTGGTCTCTCTGTTCTGTTTCATTGATCTATATATCTGTTTTTATACCAGTACCATGCTGTTTTGATTAGGTTGGGCTTGTAGTATAGTTTGATATCAGGTAGCTTGATTCCTCCAATTTTGTTCTTTCTCATGATCACTCTATATATTCAGGGTCTCTTGTGGTTCCATACAAATTTTTGAATTATTCATTATAGTTCTGTGAAATATACCATTGGTATCATGTTAGGGCTAGCATTGAATCTATAGATTGTTTTGAGTACTATAGACATTTTAACAATGTTAACTCTTCCTATCTATGAACACAGTTTATGCTTCAATTTATCTGTATCTTCAATTTCTTTCTTCAGAGTCTTATAATCTGAGTACAGGTCTTTTACATCATTGATTAAATTTATTCCTAGTAATTTTTTTTATGTAATTGAAATGGGATTGTTTTCTTAGCTTCCATTTCTGATAGTTCCTTATTGGTATATAAACATACAACCGATTTCTGGATATTTATTTTTTTTATCATGCTACTTTAGTGAATTTATTTATCAGTAGTCTTTTGGTGGAATCTTTAGGGTTTTCTATACATAGTATTATGTCTGTATATAAAACTGCAAATAATGACGGTTTTTCTTCTTCCTTTCCAATTTCCCTGCCTGTTACTTATTCTTGTGTGATTGCTGCGACTAGGACTTGCAGTACTATGTTGAGTTAGAGTGGTGAATGTGGGAATCCCTGTCTTGTGCCTCTAAATGAATTTCTTAACTCTGCACTCTTCACATTTTGCCATAACCTTAGTTTTAGTTGGTGTCATTTCCTGACCATGGACAAGACCGTGCTTTCCAACAGCTACAAAAAATGGGCAGTACAGGCTCCACACTCACAGGGCCTTGTCTCTCATCGGGCAGACATAAAAGTCTACGAATATTAACAGTATGGACTTTTCTGCATTTTCTGCTCTTCTAGCTAAGAGATCATATTTTCTTAGAAAATGTTTACCAGCTACAAACCTTAGACTTTAAGCCATTTTTAAAAAGACCTAATCACATCCATAAAAGAATTACTACAGATATCTGAAAATGTTGAACTTTTTTTTTCTTGAATTGCCAATGGGAAAAGTATGCTTACATGTAAATAGTCGGTGCCCTTAACCTTTTAATAATTGTCCCACTATTCTAAAGCCTCTAGGACATTTGTGATTTAAATTTGCCTGTGAAAGCTCAATTCAGCATAACATTGTGAGCATCTACTTGTACCAGACGTTGAGCTAAGTGTGTATGATATGAAAACATGTAAGAGCAAATTTCAAATATACAAATATGTATTTCAAATATACCCCACCTGCTGCCTCTCTGGTGTCAATCTACTAAGTTCTGAATAGATTAGATACTTGATTTTTCTTTGTGATAAAAGGGGAAAACTGCAAGAAAAATAGTTGCTACTAAAAGCAAACAAATTGGTAAATGTCAATGTCATCAGTTTCATTTTCTTGCCTATTATTAATGTCTAACAACAGGTGTTTTTTTTATTATATCTTTCACTTGGCACTCTCTTCAGTAATAGAGTACATTTTAGGCTATTAGGCAATGCTTCCAAATTTGACTAACTACACTCATTTAACAGAAATTTGCAAAAAGATAGATTAAAAGTGCATTTTATAAAAAGTCTCAACCTAATTCTGATAGCACCAACTGAGCATAAGCTGATTAAAATAAAACTAATTTTCATGCTTATAGAGTAAAAGGATCATTTCAAAGTAATAGCTGGACAGTGGGGGAGGAATTGAGAATTTTATTTCATCCATCCATTTTCAACTTTTTAAATAGTTCTCGAGTTTTTTCCCCCAACTAAATGAGAGTTGCATGTTTTTTTTATGACAAACTTGTGTTTGATTTTTTTTAATTAAAAATTGGTAGTAAAATACAGAGTAGTTGCAACAGTGAAAAAGCAAAGGCAGCATTTTTCTTCACTGTAAAATTGATTTCTTTTGTTTATAGAAACATCTTTCTTTGGAAGTCTGCATGCTTCAGTTTTTCTATGCTTATGTTCAAAGGTAAGATAACTGATGTGCATCTCTCCTCAGTGCATTAGCAACGTGTACCAGTTACAAAGTATGGGAGAAAAGCACCCAAACTCTTTCAAGAATTTGCTGTTCTTCCCCTAAAACTAAAAGAGCAAATGCTAGAAACAGAGAAACATTATTTATGGATGTATTAGTCATTGGATATCTTAATGACCGTGCCATACAAATCCTACATAGCTAAAGAGCTAAGTGTATTTAAGATACACTGGATAATCAAACACTGAATTGTAAAAAAAATTATTTAAATATTATAAATGAACAGCTGAATCGTATGATTGAAACCATGCCTATTGCCACTGAATTTATTATTATCTCGATATAGGTGAATATGTGATAGACTAATGTGATTTTTTTAATGTTAGTAATGATGATATGAAACATTTTTTGTTATAGCATATTTTCAGTTTTATTTAACTAATCCCTGAATGGAAAGTTAGTTGGCTTCAGTTCTGATAAACTTCTTACTGAAGAACCTGAAACTCAATCCTCTATCATAGAGGTAATTCAGTTTTAATTACCAAATGTAGCATCATTTTGTGATCTGTGACTGACATTTATCAAATTGTGATAAATGTCAATTTAAACAATTAAAACTGGTGGTGACTGCCTAAAATCTGAATTTAGGCACATAGAGGTGTCAGAATTAAGATCAGACTGAAACAGACACAATCTTAATTTTTCTAGGGGTGAGAAATGGATGTTCACAGTAGGTTAACAGGTCTCTTTTAGATGAGACAGACTGAAAGCTGAAGGAGAAAGAAAGGGCCAATGCGAGAGAGCAGTGGAGAGGACAGGATAGGAAGTAGGTGACTGTGATGTTAGTAACTAAACTGAGATTTCAGTTGTATTTTACTTTGGAGAGTTCATGTGTTAAAAACTGGGGTTTCTATAGCAAAATTTCTAGAATAATAAATCACACTGTGTATTTTAAATGCATTTGATTTTTTTATATCACCTTAGAAGAAAAGATAAAGCTTTCAGGACTTTCATGCTTTCATAATCTATACAAATTAAGAATGTTTCAGAGAAACTAGTAGAATAATTTGTTAAAGGCTCTTGGAAAATATAAAGAAAGTTAAATCTTCACTGTGGATTTCTGTATATGTATACATAAAATATATTTATCTTGCAGAATTCCAGTGCCCAATCTAGTGGATAGTTGGGCATCACTGCTGATCCTACTGAAAGACTCTGTGCAACTGAGTCTTCCAGCCCCAGGGCAGTTTCTTATACTTGGGTAAGCAATTTCACTTAAAAATATTATTTTGAATAAAAGAAAAATATTCATTGTCTTAATTGCTATATATCAAATGTTTTGAGTGATGATGTGATCTCTCTGCCTACTCACAGGATCCTTAAAGTATAAAACAAGATGTTCGACATGAGGCATATAAATACAGGAGTGCTGGAGAGGGAGCAATACACATTTCTACGTATACAAGATATAAATGTGCTCATGTAAAACTTACAACAGTAGTTATTTAGTGAGGAGAGGATGTGGGATGAAAAGGTAAATAGTATAGCTGAAGTGGTATTTCTTAGAGGAAGGTCATTTGAGTTCAATTAAGGCCCTGAGCATGAACAGGCTTGGAAAAGTCATTTCCCTGATCTGTGTTAATAGTTTTATGATTTTTTGATAAGTTCCCATCACCCTTACTTAACTGCATTCACCATGGTTTCATGCATAGTGTTTGTTTGTTGGTTCACAGTGAACACTTGCTCTGCGAATGGAGATGGCAGGAACAGAAGGCCTTTCCCTAGGAGGTCATAGGAGATGGGAATGGAAGGTGCACTGGAGCAAGGCTCCTTGTCTGGTGTGAGTATAGAGTAGGGCGTAGGCAGAGGAATGGGAGGTGGATGAAAAGGGAGATGGCAGCTAGATGGAGAAGGATTTTGCTTTTAATTTTAGCTTAAGAAATTTGGTTTTGGGCAGAGGGTGGGAGTGATTGCAGGTTTTGTGGAGAGACATTACTGACAAGTTAGTAGGAGGGTGAATCAAAGGGGAAAGAGGATGAACTAGGAATTATGTTTCAAGTGGGAGGTAGAGTGTGAACTGTTGATGGGAGTGAAAGAACAGGACCAACAAGGTAAAGGGCTCAGCAAAGGAAAAAGAAAAGTGAATATCACCAAGTGAGAAGAGAACCAGATATACTCAGTGTTGTGAGAGCATAGAGAAGAGGGTATGAATAACACAGCAAGATTGAGGAAGATGAAGAATAATAAGAGGCTATAATTATTGATGATTTGGAGAGGATTGGTGATTCAGAGGGAGAGATTTTGGCAAGGTAATAAGCACAGATGTGAACAGCAAAGGGTTAAAATGAGAAAGTAAATGCGGGTTATTCTTTGAAGATGTTTGGCCATGAAAAGAAGGAAATGATAAGGTAACAAGAGGAAATGTGATTCAAAAGTCACCGTTAATGGTAAGGAAGACCTAAGAATATTGAATTGTCACTGGCAAAGATTCTGAAGTTGTACGCTGCCTGGGTACAAATCCCAGCTCCTTGACATCTTAGCCCTGTGCCCTTGGGCAGGTCATTTAACCTCTCCATCTGTAAAATGGGCATGATAACGGTGCCTGTCATAAAGTAGTTATGAGAATTAAATCAGTTAAATATTTGTTAAATTCTTAGAATAGTGCCTCGCCAATAATAAATGTTACATAAGTGGAGAGTGCTAGAAGATTCTAGAGAGAAAGGGGCTCACTTATAGCACCAGATTCCAGAGGCAACAGGGAGAGGCTGGAAAGCAGTGATTGGCATCAGGTGTTAAGAGTGAGAAAGAAGAACACATTTTCTCTTAAGATTTTGCTGCTCAAAGTTTAATCCTTTAACCAGCACCATTGGAATCCCCTGGGAGCTTGTTAGAAGTGTAGAATGTCAGACTCTACCTCGGACACCCCCAGTCAGAATCTGCATTTTAACGAGATTCTTGTAACTTGAGTGCACACTGTTTGAAAGACTGCTTAGGACATAATGGGGAAGAAAGGAAATAGAGTTAACTTTACCCCAACCTTTCTACATTACCTCAGGTAGTCCAGTGGTGTCATTAGTAGCCAATGACAGTCAATATGTTACACACTGAAAGGATAAATGCAATCAAGAGCAAAGAACTTCAGTCTTTCAGTCAGCCTCTGAAGCTGTGATAGTGTTTTAATATGTGTAATTGTGTGATCCTATGTACATAGACTTACCTTCCACGCTTAGTGTCCACAAGGGAACTAGCAGTTCTGGTTGGCAGCCAGTGGTCTAGAAAGTGTTCAAGTGGAGCAGAAGGAAGCGGAGGGCTCTTCAGAAGATGGCCTTGTGTTTCCTAGTTAAGTGTGGGAATCAGTGTTCCGAGAGGAAGCAGAGAGAAGGTGGGTAGACAGGGTTGAGAGCTTGAAGAGAGTGGGTCAGGCTGTAGTAGCTGAGTAACTTGAGTGTCCGGCACAGGGATCAGGAGACCCGCTCAAGGATTCCAGGGTTCGTGATGATCCCTGGACCCACGTGCTGTGGGTTTTCCAAATCAAAAGCTGAAGGAATTTTAGAGATTGAAGGTGTGATAAAAAGAGCAGTGGACTGAATGTCTGTAAATCCCAGATCAGAGGTGAAGGTAACCAGTGTGTATGATTTTTAGTAATGAGAGGTAAATGTAAATACTAGAAATCAAACAACATTCTAATGAAGATTCCTGATTCTTATCTTCTAATCTCCAGTTCCAGCCCTCATCTCTGTAACCTCGGGTATGTCAATGAAGCTCTCTAAGGCTCCTTTCCTATCAAGCAATAATATCTGACCTGCCTGCCTCTGAATTGTTTTAAAGCTCAAGGAGAAAATATCTATACAGTTTTTTGAGTTGTTACCAAATAACCCTGTGGGCTAACTTCATTAAAAATTGAGGCCATCTGTCATGACTTGTAGCTTCTGCCTTACACAATTTATTGTTTCCTCAGCTACCTTTTTTTCTTTGTCGCTTCTCAGACAATGAGGTGACCTACCTCCTTCTCAGCATGTGTGTACAAGAGCATTTAAACACAAAGTTGGACATACTCAGTTGTACTAGAAACTTAATTCCCCTTTTAAATCTCTGGTCATTTATTTTTCCAACTATTCCACTGATCCCCTAAAAATTCCTAGTTCCAAAATACAAATCAGTGAAAATTGTTCTTCAGTATTCCTTTACATGTGAGTTTGGAAATAATTATACATACAATTTATCTTAATAAAACCAAGTCAGAGTAAATATTGAGTGGAATTACTTAGCAAACAATGGAAATTATTTATGAAGGACTTTTAATTTCTTGTATATATACACACAGGGTAAGAAACAATTTCTATGTAACACTTTAAAATTGGTGGCGTTTGGAGTTATTTTGGGGGGTCGATATATAAAACACATACAGAAAAACATATAAATAATAAGTACACAACTCCTCAAGTTATTACAAAGTGAACATACAAAGTGTTTAATAATGAACCTAAATTAAGAAATAAAATATGCCATGTCCCCTGGGGTCCCCTCCCGATCACTGTTCTTTCCATTCTTTGCAAACATAACCACTGTTCTGACTTCCAGCACCACAAAGTTTGCCTTATTTTTGAACTATAACTATTTTATGTCTATTTTTCCCACACTTGTAAGATTCATCCATGTAATTTCATGTAGCTATAAATTATTTGTGTTTGTTGCTGTTCAGTATTTTATTGTATGAATACGCTGGTTTATCTTTCCTGTTGCTAGACATGGGGATTCTTTCCAGTTTTTTACTTTTGCAAATAATGCTGTGTGAACATCCTCGTACATGTCTTTTCATGGTATATTCGAATCCATTTTAGCTGAGTCATAGGATATCTGTGTGTATGTGTTCGTTAAACATGCAAAATAGAAATCAAGGTCACAAAGTCACTTGCTCACAGTGAGAAATTAGATTGCATAATTTTCTTTAGACTAATATTTCTGGTTTGTTCTTCTCTTTGGCTCTTTTAGGGTTCTGAATGAGTTTATTATGAAAAACCCTAGCTTGGAGAATAAAAAAGACCAAAGAGACCTTCAGGTAAGGCATTCTGAATTGAGGATGGTTGCCAAAACTCTGTATTTCTTAGAGCCCTTCACACTAAAATCAAGTCAAATAAGATTTTCTGTGAAGTTCCGTGTGTATGTGTGTGTGTGTGTGCTTGTGTGTAGGTGTAATATGTGTAGTGGTTTCTCCTTGTTTCTTTAGGATGTGACTCATAAAATAGTGGATGCAATTGGTGCAATTGCTGGCTCTTCTTTGGAACAGACAACATGGCTGCGAAGGAATCTTGAAGTTAAGCCTTCTCCCAAAATAATGGTGGATGGAACCAATCTGGAGTCTGATGTTGAAGGTATTGGTGGCAGACAATTATGTAGATCTATATTCATAAATGTATATTCACTAGGAAATCATTGCAGCTACTACTGTAAATATCATAAAATCATCCCTTTAGTCTCATTTAGCAGGTAGCTTTTTTAGTGGAGAAGTCTTCTAACTGTGTCTTTAACTGTCCTTTCTGTTATTTAGATATGTTATCACCTGCAATGGAAACCTCACACATCACTCCTTCAGTATATAGTGTCCATGCACTGACATTACTTTCTGAGGTAAATATTATCAAAATTTTTAAAGGAACTTTCGAGCAAGTAGTTTCACAATTCAATACTAGCCAGTAATTCTTCAAGTTTTTAATTTGAAAACTCATTTTGACTCTGGCCAGGTACCTTAGTTGGTTAGAGTGTCGTCCCATACACCAGAAGGTTGAGGGTTTGATCCCCAGTCAGGGTGCACATGGGAGGCAACAAATGGATGTCTCTCTCTCTCTCTCTCTCTCGCCCCCCACCTTCCCCTTCTCTCCCTCTCCCACTCTCTGGCTTTCCCTTTCCCTTCCTAGCTCTCTAAAATCAAAGATAAAATGTGGTCAGGTGAGGAGTTAAAAAAAAAAAGAAAAAGGAAACTTATTTTGTACTTCTAGAAAGCACTCTATAGAATAAAGTTTTGACTTTATATTCAGGTTCGTTTGTTAAATATTAGTGATAGTAACCTTAGCTATTGCTCACTTCCCCAAGTACTATTTTTTTTAAAGTTTACTGTTTAAAAAGGATAAGTGCTTTTGTATCAGAGTATGGTTGGCAGGGGTGGAGGTGGTGTAATGGCGCTTGTCACTATAAAGCATTTATAGTGTACCAAACATTTCTCTATGCAACTTCTGACATGCTCTTTATACCCTGTTACATAGTCTTGCATGTCATGTTTGTTTCCCCTTTACAGATGTGGATACTGAGCCTCATAAAGATTAGAACAGTGTGATTAAAATCAATTAGTTATTAACTGACAAAATTGGGTCTTGAACAGCCCAGTTCATTTGGTTGTTTTTTTCCCAAATCCCTTTTAACCAGGTCATGAAAAAAGAGTATTGAGTTTCTAGTCTTAAATTCACTCTTCACTCACTGTCACAGTAGAAGGATCTTGACCTCTCTTTTTCTCTACGTACCTGTCTTGGTTAGAAATAGTAAGATTTGCCCATATTTATATCCTATAGTTACAGGAAACAAAAAAAAAGCAAATAGTGGCAGACACCATTCATATAAAAATGGATTGGGTAGATCTGATTTTAGATTTTTCTGATTTTAAGGAAATCTAGGTTTTTCTAAAGATGAAAGCCACCTCTGCATGCTGTTAGTTTCAGCTCTTAGATTATGCGCCATTCCATTTGTTATTTTTTTTAGGTTTTGGCTCATCTTTTGGACATGGTTTTCTATAGCGATGAAAAAGAACGAGTTATTCCTTTACTTGTAAATATTATGCATTATGTTGTGCCCTACCTCCGAAATCACAGGTACTATTATTATTTAAGTACATTTCATAGTTAATCATAGCTCGTTAGAAGCAAATTATATTTCTTATTACCATTATTTAAATTACCACAAAATAACGTTTTTTTACTGCAAATTATAATGATTGAAAAAAAATCTTATGGTATTTTCTGTTTCCTGTCATTGTTTTAGGTAACTGTGAACACTAATGAATAACTTAACATGATGATTAAAATTATAACATACAGGTTAAGGTGGTTTTCCTTTCCCCTAGTGCCCATAATGCCCCTAGTTACCGAGCCTGTGTCCAGCTGCTCAGCAGTCTCAGCGGGTATCAGTACACCCGGAGGGCCTGGAAGAAAGAAGCCTTTGACCTCTTTATGGATCCCAGTTTCTTCCAGATGGATGCCTCTTGTGTTAATCAGTAAGTCATCATCTTGCTTTTATTCAATGTGATAATACAGCTTATAAAGTCTGTTGAAATACCCTGCAAGGATGAATACTTTTTAACAATAACAACAACAAAATCTTAATTACATATGATGATCCTTGTCTTTTCAGTTGGAGAGCAATTCTGGACAACCTGATGACACATGATAAGACAACATTTAGAGATTTGATGAGTGAGTATTTTGGGATGACAGCTGACGCAGTGTTTTTCTTGTGTATGATCCATCCTTATTATTTACTTTGCTCTTTTTTATAAACCACTGAATTACCTCTGTGTCAAGTTATAGTTAGTGCCCTAAAGGGATATAATGTGAAACTTAAAGAGGACAACGTAGCGATAAGTAAAACTGCTTGGCCACGTGTCTCTGAATTGTTCCCTCAGCTCACAGCATAGAACCTAGCACACAGTAAGCACTCACTAAGTAATTGTTGAAGAAATGAAAGACCAACACATGGGAAGGCAGGGAGAGGCAGGAAGTTGGAGCCAAGTTACCCCAAATCCTGGGGCTCCGTTCATTTCCTCTAAAGGAAGAAAGGAGCTAAAAAGGCCAGAATCACTCTTCACCCCCTTTCTACTCCACCTTGACTGGTTTTATGTTAGGATTCCTTGTAATATTTCATCTGAAAAAATGAAATATTTTTTTTAATATTTTATTTTTAAAGTTTGGGAGCTACTAAAGGAATGTCCTTAAATAGCAGCGAACTTGATTGAATCTATATGAATCGAAGTTCTTTAAAACAAGCTGCAGTTTTCTCCTCCGGAAAAGAAAGGAGCAGCATAGTCTCTCTTCTCGACTCTTCACAGCATTGTTTTAAGGTTCAGATTCAGGTTTAGAGTCATCCATTCAACAAATATTTATTAAAAGACAAAAATAGGCCAGGCATTATGCTAACCTTAGTCAAACAAGATTTCAGAGAATAAGAAGTTGTGAAGGAAATAGGGCCGTGCAGTGTATTGTAAATAACAGCTGAAGAGCTCGTGTTTGAGGTGAAACTAAAGAAGCTAGCTGTGAGACGTTCTAGGGACAGAGTATTCCAGGCCACAGGGAACAAAAGTTATAAAGGTCTTGGAGTGGGAAGAAGCTTGGTGAGTGCAAGGAAAAGCAAACAAGACAAAGCAAGCAAGACAGCATGGCTGCAGGAGAGTGAGCAGGGGATGAGTGGTAACACAAGGTAGGCCAGGCCAGAAATTATCTCTGAGGATTCGAGCAGATGGCTTAAAATATTCAAGGGTTTCTAAAGCGTCATTGTTAGTGGTTTTACCTTCAGGAACCAACAGTTCTAAATGTTCTGTCTTTCCCCCTCACAGTTTCTACCCCTTGGTCTTCTGGCTTGTGTACGTTGGCTCCATCTCTGCTCCAGGGAGGCGCCCGAGTCCTTCACCCTAGGTCCCTTCCACTTGCGGATGTCATAGGGAATTAGCCATTTTTAAAAACAAATACATAATAGAATAATCTGGATGACCATCATAACCTCTCTCACTTGCTTTCTTTTTTCAGCCCGGGTAGCTGTGGCTCAAAGCAGTTCACTTAATCTCTTTGCAAATCGAGATGTGGAGCTGGAGCAGAGAGCCATGCTTCTCAAAAGATTAGCATTTGCTATTTTTAGCAGTGAAATTGACCAGTACCAGAAATATCTTCCAGATATTCAAGGTAAATAGTGAAAAACGATTTTCTTTACCTTCCAATCTGCAGGGGTTTTTGTTCCTTAGAAAATACTTGACCCTAAATTGTAAATTGGGATGACATATGCCAAGTGAGGTAAATTATAAATGTAAAATTAGAAATTTGTTTTACTAAACAATAAAAAATATCACTAGTGTGTAAAAGCAATCAAACACTGAGTTTGTAGAACTTGTATAAATGTGGTCTTTTCTATTATTCAGTTGAAATTTCCTAGGAATTCGTGTTTGAAGCTGAGGTCTAAGGCTATATAACATGCAGTAGGCAGGCATTGTAGACTTGTTTTTATTGTGGGTAAGGGGTCACATACCTTTAAGGAGAGGACTAAAGTATAGGCAGAGCCAGGAAATATTAGCCAGAAGTAACATTTTGAGGTCCGTGGTCTAGGGCCAGGGGAGGGAGTGAATAAGGTGTTGATAAACTTCATGAAGGAGACAGAGCACTTCACGGGCACAGGGAGGAGCTGCCCCCCGGGGCAGGACTGTTTGCTGCTCGGGTCAGGGTGCTGGTTCACCTGCCGGCCACAGCAGCTGATGTGGGGATGAGGCTGCAATGACAGTTGTCATCTTATAGTGAGATTCTAAGTGACTCCTTCTTCCCTGGCCCCTTGTATCTAATGTCACATGTGCAGCAAGCGCACTATTGTCCTGTGATTTCTAAAGCCGACTGGATCAGGGGTACTCAGTGCGGTCCCATGTACCCAACCAGTCTGTTTGTCTCATTCATGGTAAGTACAGAAACCTAGAGTAAGCATTCTAAGCACGGACAGTTTGACACAATCTGTTGAATTCGGTGAGAAGAAAATGGAATTTGTGTTTTATGTGTCTTTTAAATTTGGTTTTTCTAATAATTCATTTTAATTATAGTTTACAAAAGTATCAATCTGCAGCAGATTGGATATTTTTATAAAGAGTTGGTCCTTCACAGAAAGTTTGAGAAGTACTAGACTAGATTATGTAGAAAGTTTTACATTAAAATGATTCTAATTAGTCACTGAAAATGTACTGCATTTCTTTCAGAGAGATTGGTTGAGAGTCTTCGTTTGCCCCAGGTGCCAACTCTTCACTCTCAAGTGTTCCTGTTTTTCAGAGTGTTACTTTTAAGAATGTCTCCACAACACCTTACCTCGCTCTGGCCTACCATGATTACAGAACTTGTGAGTTAATATTAATTCAGTCAAGTTATAAATGTGGGGGTGACTTTGCTCAAGTCCCCCTGTCCGCCACAGATGAAAGTAAACACTACCAAGACCTGATCTGCTTGGGGAGGAGAGGTGGCCAGTTTCTCAAAGGAAAAAGGCCTTGAGCCCCTTCCTCCAGGGACTTTTACTGGGTTGTAATACACAGGAATACAGAGCAGCAAGGATCAAACGGTAGATAACATTTCAAAGAAATCTGAGAGCTTAGTCCGAGTCAGTGTCTGTCAGGAGAGAGGATTTGCAGAAACTTTAGGGTTTCTTGCTTGAACCCTTAACATGAATGAAAGCACTTAGCAAAGCAGGTTTCATAGGATTTTTAGGAATTCTTTCTTATGCCAGATTTCCCCAAATCCACTCTAGCAAGGCAAGGAGCTGCACCCCCTCCCATCAGGTTTTCAAGCTTAAGTGGATTAGAGCCAGGAAGCGCTTCTCCAAGAGGACATGGGGACTCAGGCTTTGTCTCCTAGCCGGGGGGCAAGGGTCTATTGCTCACTCTTTGTTGCAGCCCCCCAAGTCTTTCTATGATGGCCTCCCAAGTGATCGTGTCTGGCTTAGGTCGTCCCTCGCTGTGAGGAGTCTTACCCATCTCTGACTTCTAACCATGCTTTGGGGGCAGGGAGAGGAAACTGAGGCAGCATTTGCTACCAGAGACAAGCTTTTGCATTCCAGAGGTTGCTCACTCATCCTTAGCTATGGGGGGTTTACAATTCCTGAAACCAGGCAGAGTGGTCCCCAACATATAAGTAACCGATAAAACAATGTGATTAGTGTCAACATGCTTACTGTGTAAAAACTAATCTTGGAAGAGAATTAAACCCTAAGTAAGCCTTTTCCTAACAATTTTAATAGTTGAAAATTATAAAACAAGTCAGATCTCATCTCAGTACAGCTTAAACTTCCCAACATAAAACATTAATATTAATGCCTTGCGGATCTTTGTCGGATCTAGTTTAATTCAGTCTCATCTACACCAATCGTTTGACTTTGCCACGGCTGCCAGGCCCAGCTCCCGCTGGCAGCAGCACCTCTGGAGTGATTACAGATGGGTTAACTGTGTTTTAATGGACTGACATGAGGCACACACTAACTGCAGCACTTGCCCTAGTTAAGCTTGCTTCAGAGAGACTTTTCTTCATGAAGATTCTGTAAACTCCCAAACAATAAACCTTCCCAAGCCCCCCCACGCAATTACCTTCCCCACACCACGCCCTATCACCCCACTCTGAGTTGGGGAAAGGGAGGTAAATAAAGGAAAGGCAATGCACAGCTCTGAACATCCAGCATTTATAATTTCCCCACAGAGAAACTGGCTTTGATATTTTTCTTTTTTAATAACTGTCATTCTATTCCATATTTACCTGAAACAAAAGCATGCTTTTATCTCAACTCTGCCTAATTATTATTAGCAAAGTTTTGTGGTACATTTGTAGTTTTATTATCAGAAATTAAGTATAAAGATCCTGAAGTTGTATCCTAAAATTTCTTTTTAAATTAATGAAAATATAGCCTAAAGATAACTTGAAAGAAGAATTAAATACCCAATTTGAAAAAAACATTTAACATTTATCCCATGGTTTTCAGGTACAGGTTTTTTTACTGATGGAGCAGGAACTCACTGCTGATGAAGATATTTCACGGTAATATGTAATTCATTTCAATGTATTGTTAATGTTTATAGTATCCTAAAATCATCCAAAGTGTTACAATCTGGAGAGTACATGTATTGTTTTTTCTAAACACTTTATATACAAAAGTAGGTTGCTAGCCCAGGCCCTGTGGCTCGGTCGCTTGGAGCTTTGTCCCAGCGCGCCTGGTTGCGGTTGGGTCCCGGGGCGCAGCGCGCGCAGGCGTCAGCCAGTGCAGTCAGCCGGTGCATGCGCAGACGGGTGGGGCCGCAAGCTCCGTGTCTCTCTTTCCCTGCCCCCCCTCCTATCTAAAATCAACTTTACAAAAGTAGGTTTACAGTTGTAAGTATGCAAATGTTTATTCTTATTTTATTGTATTATTTTTCATATGTACAACTGTACACCTATTTTGCTCCACCTTGTATTTAGTCTGTTGCTATCTACTTAATCATAGTGGGATATATTTTTACATATTTTGTACACATTTTTAACTGGATTAAACTATCAGTATACATGACCTTTGACCTCACAATTTTTTTAAAGCAATATAATACTATTTCAGCTACATGAGCCATTTTGGTTTTGGTAGGTCAGACCTTGGCTGTAAAACAAGCAGCAGAGCCGATTACGGTAGGTAACCTGTCACTAAGTTACCCATATGTCCAGGTTTTCCAGAATGATCTCAATTTAATGTATAATAACTTTATTTTTCTTAATAGAGGTAGTTTATTGCATGACTAAATAGAACTTATTTTTATTTACATGAGAATTTTGGAGAAGCGCCTTTCTGGCTCCTTCTTGAGTCTCTGTCTGGTTTGGCCTCCTTGCCTCCAGCCTCCACCATGGCCATAAGGATGACCCAGAGGTCCTTCAAGGTGACTACCTCTGGTCCCGGGGCCTTCAGCAGCCACTCGTTCTCGAATGGGCCCAGCACCAGCTCCTTGGCCTTTTCCTGTGTGAGCAGCAGCTCCTGGCTGGGCCTGGGCCCCAGCACGAATTTGCCCAGGGGTTTCGGTGGAGCTGGGAGCATGGAGACCATCAAAACCATCCACTAGAACCAGAGCCTGCTGAGCCCCGTGAAGCAAGAGGTGGGCCCCAACATCCAGGCTGTGCACCACCAGGAGGAGCCAATCAAGAGCCTCAACAAGTTTTCTTCCTTCATGGATAAGGTGTGGAGTCTGGAGCAGCAGAATGAGATTCTGGAGACCAAGTGAAGTCCCCTGCAGCAGCAGAAGACGACTCACAGTAACATGGACAATACATTCAAGAGCTACATCAACAACCTTCGGCGGCTGCTGGACACACAGGAGAAACTGGGACGGGAGGTGGAGTTTGTCCACATGCAGGGGCTGACGAAGGACTTGAAGAATAAGTACGAGGATGAGATCCACAAGCACACAGAGATGGAGAATGAATTTGTCCTCATCAAGAAGGATGTGGATGAAGCTTACATGAGCAAGGAAGAGCTGGAGTCCTGCCTGGAAGGGCTGGCCAATGAGATCATCTTCTACAGGCAGCAACGTGACAAGCAGACTTGTAACCTGCAGGGTGATCTCCGGCACATCCGTGGTGCTGTCCATGGGCAACAGCCGCTCCTGGGCTTGGACAGCATCGTCACTGAGCTCGAGGCCCAGTATGAGGAGATTGCCAACTGCAGACATTGGCTGGGGAGCATGGGGATGACCTGCATTGCACGAAGACAGAGATTTCTGAGACTAACCAGAACATCAGCAGAATCCAGCCTGAGATTGATGGCCTCAAAGGCCAGAGGGCCTCCCTGGAGCCCACCATCAAGGATGTGGAGCAGTGTGGTGAGCTGGCCATCAAGGATGCTCAGGCCAAGCTCAGAGCTGGACGCTGCTCTGAGAGCCACCAGATAGGACATGGCCTAGCAGCTATGTGAGTACCAATTCATGAACACCAAGCTGGCCCTGGATGTGAAGATCGCCACCTACCACAAGCTGCTGGAGGGCAAGGAGAGCCAGCTGGAGTCTGGGAGGCAGAACATGGGTACCTACACCAAGACCACCAGTGGCTACTCAGGTGGGCTGAGTCTGGCTTACGGGAACCTCAACTACGGCCTGGGCTTCCAGGCCAGCTTGGGCTCTGGCAGGAGCTCTACCTCCTTCAGCCACACCAGCACCAGCTCCTCCAAGATGGTGGTTGTGAAGAAGATTGAAACCCGAGATGGAGATGGGAAGCTGGTGTCTGATGTCCTGTCCAAGTGAATGACTACTGCGGTCCCTCCTGTCCTCTGAGCTGGCAGGAAAGGAGCTCTGGAGGAGAATGGAAGGCACAGGAGACCCACCTAAGCACAGCCCCAGGCCTCAGCTCACCCTTGGGGTGGGGGCGTTTACTGCCGGGGGCACCACGTCTTACTCATTCCCCTAACTAAAAGCCAAATCAAGTGTTTTTTTCCTCCCAAAATAAAGCCTTAGCTGGCTCTGCCAAAAAACAAATGTTTTGTTTGTCCAAATAAGTTTACAAATTGCAAAGTTCCTTGAAGACCATTATGTCTTGAATACGTTATCCCTTTACAGTGCTAGGTTTATAAAACAGTTCCTGGTACTAGTAACTGTTATTCCAGAACCCTGGCCCCTCGCCCCCTTGGAGAATGACACCGAGGAGTAGAAAATCCCCTTGGTTCACACCTTGTATTTTTCTATTTCTTGGGTGTAACACAATTTATTCTGTACTATCTTTAATACAGTTTGAACAAGATATAATTTTTTTTGTTTGAGAACAGCTAAATTTATGGTCATAACCTTGTGTAACATTACACTTTCCAAAGTGATTATGAAAAATATTAGTTGGCACTTTCAGAATTTCCAGGAATTGCCTGTTAGTAACCAGGTGCAGCTCCTGACAACACTGTCCCCTGCTTACAGGACCTCAGGCCCTTCTGTGGCTGGGCTGGAGACGACCTACACGGGAGGCAATGGCTTTTCTACTTCATATAACAGCCAGCGATGGTTAAACCTCTATCTCTCTGCTTGCAAATTTTTGGATTTGGCCCTCGCATTGCCCTCTGAAAATCTTCCTCAGTTTCAGATGTAAGTAAAAGGATGTTAAATGGATATTTTTGAAAACACATTTGCTTTGGTCACTGATATCTAATTTTAAAGTTTTTGTGTAAGCTGAAATACTGTTTTTATTAAAGTGCAATTCTGTCAGGTCATGGTAGGATAGTTAGGGGAAGTAAATAGTTTCTATGGATGTATTAAAGTTAACAGACCATTCAGTCAACAAACTGAGTACCCACAGGATGTAAGGCACAGGGGTACATGAGTCACCAGCTTCAAGTCTAGTGTAAGACATAGTTCAACACATAATTTGATAGCAGATATGGTCCAAGATGCCATGAAGCCACACAGCTTCACGCCTAGTGGCTCCCGCCCAGTTCTGAGGGTCAGAGTCGGCCATGAGGGAGTTTTATACTGAGGCTTGAAAGGTGAGGGTCGGGGAGGTCCGTGTGTGAAGACAGAGGTGGAAGAGGCCTGCAGTGTTGGAAATACTGGAAGATTCGTATTGCTGGAGCAGATGTTGAAAGGGGGTGGATGGGAACGAGTTAGGAATTGTACAGCCTTGTAAGCTCTATCAGAGAATTTGGACGTTAACCGGAGGACAGTGGGAAGCCTTGGAAGCATATTAAGGAATGAAGTGCTGTGACTGGGTGAGGCTTGCATTTTAGAAATTTTGCTTTGGCTGTAATTTGAAGAAAGGACTGAAGATGGGCAAGAGTGAGTCACGAAGGCAGTTTTATAGTGAACTGAACTAGAGGTGGCAGAGGGGGACAGGGAGAAAATCAGTGGAAGTAAATTTCCACAATGCCTTGTTCATAAGTGCTCAAAAATAATTATTTTTCAGATTTAAATTTTTAAATAACAGGCAAACTATATTAGAGTTTTATCAAAATAGAGCTAAGATAATTAGAAAATATGTCCACATGATCAAATATGTACTTATTATATAATGTTACATTTTGTAATGTTACTCTTCTGGAATAAAATAAGATAAAGGTCATCAGGATCTTTCTATATTTGAACGCTCCACTCTCCAATAATTGCTATTTCAGAAGCTTACTTTTCATTAAATGTACTGGTAAGAACTATTAAGTTACTTTTACATTAATTCCAGGTTTTTTTTCTTTCTGTTTTTCTGCATTTGAAAACCATATACATCTATTTCTTCACAAATTTTAGCAGTTGAGTATCTGTTAAACCTGATGTTACTCCTAAAGAAATTCAGAGAAGGATAAGAAGCAGGACTGTAAGAAAGCGGCCAGAACTAATTACGATGTTTGTCTTCAGGGCTTGAGGAAGAACAACATTAAGTAGAATGCTTATGGTCTTGACTTGTTAGCTTCCACAGGGAGAACCAAAATGAGTTTGTCCTCTATTTGTTAAGATAGTTATTACAAAGGGATGAAATATGCTGTGATAATAACTACATTTTTTCCTACAAAACTACAATAACTACAAAAGTTCTATGTTTTTTTTTTTAAGTCTATAAAGCAGTATAGCATGGGGAATTTAATCTTGCAAGTAATATCATTCTAAGCATGACTATTTCAGAAGTTCAAAATAGTTGACAGTTTAACTATATACAAAATTAAAAGTCTGGTGTGACTAAGATACCATGCTTAAAAGGCAGCAACGAGTTGGGAAAAGCTATGACAAAAGTCTAATTTGTTTAATACAATAACCCAATAGAAAAATGGGCCATTGAGAGAGTTCATAATTCATAGAAAAGGGATAGCTTCTCAGCATAGGCAGATCATCAGACATACTCAAAGAGAGAAATTCCTATTAAAATTATAAGTTGCTACCAGAATGGTAAAGATGTAAAAGTATATTTCCTTTTACCCTAACAACAGAAGCATTCTTATTCTTGTGGAAAAATAAAAGATACACCATGGGGTATGAAATAAGTACTACTTAAACTTTTCTTACATTATTTGTTCTTTGCCCCCTTACTATGCAGTTAGGGAACATTTGGGCAAGTATATGGTGGAAATCTTGACTGTTAATGACAGAAACATTCGTTGAGGACTTGCTTTGTGCTCATGAAAAAAACAGTGGTGAGCACTTTACAAGTTCATGTATTCGTTTACTTGTTACAATTTCTGTGAGACAGTTAACAGCGTCTGTTATTTACTGATCAAGGATCAAGTTAAGAAACACGCTACAAGTGACACAGCTGTTGAATCTTCCTACGGTATTCATGTGGCCTTGCCTTATGTGCCGCGAAGTCTGTTCCTCATGTTGGTGGAAATCATTCTTCTATACACAGGTACCGATGGGCCTTTATTCCAGAAGCCTCAGATGACTCCGGTTTGGAAGTCAGAAGACAAGGCATACATCAACGAGAATTTAAACCTTATGTAGTACGACTAGCCAAGCTTCTTCGAAAAAGGGCAAAGGTATTGATCGCATTCTTTCCTTTGTCTTTAAGAAGATAACATTTGTAAAATTTATTTATATTGTGTTACATACTTTGTATTTTTCAGTAAGTATTGTAATTAGAGATCTTCACCCAAGAAAATAGTCAAGTTGACCCTTGAACAACATGGAGGTTTAGGGGCACCTACCATCCATGCAGTTGAAAATCCTTGGGATTTTCATATATACCTTTTCTACATGTATACCTTTTGACCCCCAAAACCTTAAATAATAGCCTACTAATGACCCTACCAATAACATAGTTAACTAACACATATTTTGTATGATACATGTATTATATACTGTATTCTTACAATAAAGCTAGCAAAAAGAAAATTAAAATTTGAAGTAAAAAAAAATTACAGGATTTATTGAAAATCTGTGTGTAAGTGGACCTATGTAGTTCAAACCTGTGTTGGTCAAGGGTCAGCTGTAACGAAGTAAATGAGCATGCTCATCAGTGGGCCTTTTTTGAGGTCTTGCCCTTCGCATGCCAAAATTTTAAAAAATAAATTGTACAATTTGGGGATAATCTGGGTGGTCTTTTGAGTCCTAGTTTTCAGAATGTGCTTTGAGTGCTCAGAAATTTTCCACTTTTCTGGGGTCCCCTATTCAGGCAGCAGCTCCTAACTGCATTCCACAAACTGTAGAAAATGGAAGGGAGGAAAATTATTAAAAAGTACTTTACAGATATAAGGAACTTGATTTATAATCAAGTTATTTCTTTAGGGACCAAGTGAAAGGATAAAAACAAAGATGAAAGTTGGGTAGAGTTTGGGATAGGACTTAAGTACTTTATTCTGATATCACAGGGCTTGAAAAAATATTCATGATAGCAAATCCAGTAACAAGGGAATTATATATGACCCCAAGCACATACACACTGTCATCCCTGCATCTCATTAGTAATGAGCATTTTTAAAGACTCCTCCCTTATCTAAGGAATAAACATGGCAGTCTTTTGTCTAAAACTTGTTCCACAGAATAAGAAAACAGTTTTGATTAGAAGGCATTTCCCCAAAACACTCTAAACAAGGTCTTCATGGCCACGCATCCTTTTCATGGAACAAAGGCTATGAGTTCTCCTCTTTCCTTCCACAGGACAAGGAGGAGGACTTTAAGACAGTGATTTTGGAGGGATTGGAGATGACCAGGCATCAGGTGAGGGTGGCTTTTTGATGCTTGTGATATGGCAGCAAAAGTTGCCACATTGGGACCAAATACTGACACACAAACCCAGGTCTGAATTTCAACAAGTACAAGAGGGGTAAAGAGGAAGGAAGTCTTTTAGATTGTTGAAGTGAAGGGAGAATCGTCTGTGTGGAAACATGCTTGACTTTTTATTTCTTATTGAGGGAAGTGGTTCTGATTAAGAAAAGCAGAACATTAAAAGAAGTCATTCTTGGTCAGGAGCTCAGTAAAAATCCCTCTTAAAGGTGTATCTGGACAAGAATATAAACCTTTGTGCTCTTACATTGGAAAATAGTTATGTACAGGGTTCAATATTCTACTCATTTTACTTCAGGATAATGTTGTATGCCTTTTAATTACCACTGAATTGCAGTTTGATGGTACAGTCAGCCAGTTAATGGTAGTCCGTGATGTGGAAGTCAATCCCAAGACTGTCATTAAAGCAAGTGTCACAGTTGGGAGAAAGGAAGATGGTTTTCTGTGCCCTATAATGAAGAGTGGAGGTTAAAAACTGTTAACACAGTAACTAACTGATGGCTGGGGATTTTGGCCATACAGGATTAGCTTATCTTTTCTTGTTTACTCCCTAGTCTTCTGTTTTAACTTCAATTTATTTTCCCATCTCAGGATTTTATTTTTGAATAAGCAAACAAATCTGTGAGCACACAAAAGAAAATAAGCCGGATTCTGCATCTGCTTTCTCCACTAGGAAACTAGTGATATTAAGATATTTGGTAAATCACAAAAGTGTCTTGACAACATCTGATCTTAGAAGGCAGACTCCATTTATAACCAATATGACAGATTGTAATTATGCTTCCTAAGTTCCACTTGATTTCTTTTCCTTTTTTAATTGTTTTTTGTCTTATCTCTACTCATATCTACTCTCATATCTCATATCTACTCTCATATCTCATATCTAAGTCTGCTCAAGTTCAAACATCTTTAGTTTTTTAAAATATATTTCATTGATTATGCTATTAGTTGTCCCAATTTTCTCCTTTTGGCCCCTCTACCCGGTACCCCCATTCCCTCCAGCAAACCTCCCTTTAGTTCATGTCCATGGGTCATGTGCGTAAGTTCTTTGGCTTCTCCATTTCCTATACTGTTCTTAACATCCCCCTGTCTCTTCTGTACCTACCAATTTGTACTTCTTAACCCCTGCACCTTTTCCCTGGTTCTCTTCCTTCCCTCTCGCAGATGATAACCCTCCAAATGATCTCTATTCCTGTGATTCTGTTCCTGTTCTGCTTGTTCTGTTTTTTAGATTCAGTGCCTGATAGTTGTGAATTTGTGCCATTTTAATGTTCAGTTTTGATCTTTTTCTTATACAGGGTCCGGCACAAATAATACCCCTTTTTTGTTATAAAATCATAAGAATGTAATCCTATAACATAATATCACACTCAAGTACACCATATGACACTTTAGGTGAAATGTTCACATTAAAAGTATAAATTACTACCCCCATATTATTATTACCTTACTAATTACACTCAAGCAAACGTTACTCTGCCACACCCTATATAGTTCCTTATATTTAATATAATGCCCTGGCTGGTGTAGCTCAGTGGATTGAGCACGGGCCTACGAACCAGAGGATCACAGTTCAAATCCCAGTCAGGGCACATGCCTGGGTTGCAGGCCAGTTCCCATCAGGGGACACATGAGAGGCAACCACACATTGATATTTCTCTCCCTCTCTCCTTCCCTTTCCCTCTGAAGATAAATAAAATCTTTTAAAAATATTTCCTATAATGAGGGCTTGGTGATGATGAACTCCTTGAGTTTTACCTTGTCTAGGAAACATTTTATCTGCCCTTCAATTCTAAATGATAAATTTGCTGGATAGAGTAATCTAGGTTGTAGGTTCTTGCTTTTCATCACTTTGAATACTTTTTGCTAGCCCTTCTAGCCTACAAGGTTTCTTCTAAGAAGTCAGCTGAGTCTTGTAGGAACTCCTTTGTCAGTAACTTTCTGCTTTTCTCTTGTTGCTTTTTTAAGATTCTCTTTATTTTTTAAGTTTGGCATTTTAATTATGTGTCTTAGTGTGGTATTCTTTGGATCCAACTTGCTTGGGACTGTCTGTGCTTCCTGGATTTGTATGTCTGTTTCCTTCACCAAATTAGGGAAGATTGCTTTCATTACTTTTTCAACTAATTTTTCAATTTCTTGCTCTTCCACTTGTCCTTCTGGCACCTGATTCAGATGCTGGTATGTTTAGGGATGTCCCAGCAGCTTCTTATTCTAGCCTCATTTTTTTGAAATCTTTTTTGCCTCTTGCTGTTCTGATTGAATGCTTTTCTTTTTCCTTAGGTTCCAAATCGTTGATTCTCATCTTCATCCTCTCTACTGTTGGTTCCCTGTAGATGTTTATTTCGCTTAATGCAACCTTCATTTCTGCCTGGGTCTTTTTTATGCAGTTGCAGTACCCAATGATTTGTTTGAGCATCCCAAAAACTAGTATTTTGAACTCTGTATCTGATAGATTATTTATCTCCGTTTCATTTAGTACTTTTTCTGGGATTTTGTTCTGTTCATTTGGTCCATATTTCTTTGTCTCCTCCATTTGGTAGCCTCCCTGGGCTTGTTTCTATGCATGAGGTAGAGCTGTTTGCCTCGTCTCAGTAGCTTGGCCTATTGTAGAAAAGGCACCCATCTGGACGAATGTGGCTTCTTCAAATCCTTCGTTGTCAGACTTCCACACAGCTTGAGTTTCAGACAAATCTGGGTGATGTCTGTTCTGTAGTCTAGCTGTAATTTTTGCTGTAGTTATGTGAGGAAGTGAAGCGTATTTATTACCTATGCCTCCATCTTGACCAGAAGTCATCTTTGGGTCTTATAAATTTTTCCAAATAGACTGATGTCTAACAACTGTGTTTATGTACTTGGCTTCTCAAACTAGCTTAGTATTAACTATCTTGTGTTCATTTAGTTGACAGGATTTTCACATACATTCTCATTTGACTTTACTGCTGCAATGTAGATTTTCTCATTTTGTAAGTGAGGAACCTTTCTGTATCTTGCCCAAGAATAGTCTATTAGTAAATCAGTGGCAGAGCCAGGACGCTAACCCAGTTACTCCATGTCAGCTTTCCTCCCCACCATGTGTAGCACAACACAGAAACAGATAGCATCTCCTTTCCCTTCTCTTTGCTGACAGTATTCACTCTGGGCCCTCCTATCATCTTGTGGCAAGTTTAAGCCATTGGCTAAAGGGAATTCATTAATTTACTAAGGATGAAATGTGTAACCCTTTGTCTCTTCCAGGCTTCTTCTATAGTCATTTTGTGACCCAGTCCTTGGTTACATTAGTGGGAGTCCAGAAACCTGGGAGCTTTTTGAGTATATACAAAGCACAAAATAAGCTTGTAATATTTGACTCTCCTTATCCCAAACCAATTATGCTAATCTTCTTTATAATAAATGTTAGTAGACCCCTCCATATCCACTTAATAATTGGTACCCAAAGGCCTCAGAAGCAAGAATTGTCTGGAATGAAGATGCAGTATCATCATTTGTACTTAACTGATTGATGTTTATACCCTTTGAAGCGTTCTAATGCACATCACAGGTGGCAAACACAAGGCCTACAGGCCAAATCTGGCCCAGCACCTTGTTTCTACCTGGCAGAAGTGCCCAGCTCTTGCTTAACTGTTAAGGAGTAGTTACATTTATACAGTCCTAAAATTACATTTGGCCCTTTGAAGGCAACCACGAGGCTGATGTGGCCCCTGGTGAAAATGAGTTCGACACCCTGGTACTACATCATCTGTTAATAACAATTCCCGTTTTGTTTTCTGCAGAAAAATCCAGAGGAAGACAACTCAGGGAGAACGTTGGGTTGGGAGCCAGGGCACTTGCTGCTCACCATCTGCACCGTGCGCAGTATTGAGCAGCTGCTGCCATTCTTCAATGTGCTCAGCCAAGTCTTCAACAGCAAAGTTACCAGCCGATGTGCAGGACACTCAGGGAGCCCCATCCTCTATTCAAATACCTTCCCTAACAAGGACATGAAACTGGAAAATCACAAACCATTTTCCAGCAAAGCCAGGCAAAAAATAGAAGAGATGGTAGAAAAAGATTTTCTGGAAGGGGTGATAAAAACTTGAGTACCACAAGTGGTTCCACTTAGTTTAAATGTAAATGTAATCATTTAAAACAAACATAACTCTGAGTTGTATAGGTTTTCTTTTGTATGTAACAAAACCTATTTCAGGTTGTATTTAATTTAAATATTTGTAAATAAGAGCAAATGTCTGAGTGTGGCCTGAATCACGTTTAAATATTGTTGGCTCATATGGATTATGGTGCCTAAGAGAGATCTATATACATATATAGTCCATTGTTTTATTGTCCTCAGTTGTCCTAAACCTGCAAAATACACACTGCACATTTTTTTCTATTGGTTTCAAGCTTCGCTTAATTTAGTTTGGTTGGGGAGCTTCTTTACTTGTCATTAACCACATTTTAGTGTCAGAATGGTGTCACTTCTCTGTCAAAGGATTGGTAATGTATCACAATTAGTTTCTGCCCACATTACTAAGAGGAGTGAAGAATAACTGAAGCCTGGGACCTGCACCCTTCTAAGTGTAGCAGGAGCATCTCCACCTCAGGACAGAGATACCCAGCCGCCACAGTCACACCTGAGTTCCTGGGGATGGTAACTTCAGAGGTAGGTCACTTAAGAATCATTCTGAAGACACTGCTGTGGTAAAATCGGTAAAATCGGTTGTATCAAGTCTTTCCCACTCTCTCCACCCGTACTGACAATGGTGAAGACTACAAAACAGCGTCCTGGGTAGGTGACGGCAGTAGAAGAGACATGCCCCAAGGTGTTGGTAATAAATAAGATTTAATTTTCTGGAAGCCCTCACCAATTTGTCCCAGCATATATTATAATCATACATGTAACTGACAATATTTTACATTAAACTGAAGCTAGAGGTAAGTTTCATTTTTTAAAAAAATGAATTTAATAATTGTAAGGCTTGGCCATGTCTAAAGAATTATTCCGGTAGTGTTTAAGAACAGATCTAGAAACAATCCAGTAAGGTGCAGTAAACATGATTATAAATGTGTTTGAACCTGTCACAATGGCAGTACTATTATTATGTAAAAACTTTTTAAAAATCCAGTTTCTCAAGATATAAAAATTGTCTTCAGAAACCTGGTTGGGGACGTTCTCCAACTCCTCCAGCCAGCTGAAATACTGCCAAGCTCACTTCATGGGCAAGGCTATCCGCGCTTTCCTGAAAATTACATGAAAATTGATTAGATGGGAGGGACAGCATCTACCATGTTACTGCACCTTTGAGGGAAGAGGAGGGAGTCTGATTGTTTCGCTAACATAGTAAGATGAAAATGTTTCTTTTTTTTTCATCTTTCAGTAGTAAATTCCAAGACCCTAAAATAAATGGAAAACAAGCCAAAGTCTTCCAAATAAGGTAAATTCTTAATCAAATAATAAAATTATTTGAAAACTGAATAAATGTAATGAAACCTAGTCCTTGAAGGCAACAAGGCCAAAATTATCTGTGAGTAAGTCAAGTTACTCTTAAGGCCCTGGATGTCCTTTCCTCACCCACCACAGTGAATAAACACAAGGTCCAGCGGGAGTAAGGCTCGCCTGAGTGTGGATGGTAGGGTACATGAATCTCTCACGCAGCAATTTGAACATTTCACCTAAAATGTCATATGGTGCACTTGAGTCTGATAGTATGTTACAGAATCATATGCTTATGATTCTGTAATAAAAAGGGGGCATTATTTGTGCCAGACCCTGTATATTTACTATATTCTGGGATGGCCTAAGGCTTCTGCAGAAAAACTGCCAGCTATTGTATAAATTAAAAATGTCTCCTTCTGAGTCCCTATTCAATCTACTTTATTTTCCCTCTCCTGTGCAAACATCTTAAGGGTTTATGGTAATGGAAAAGACTGTATTGAGAGGACAAACTGTAAATCTCTAGACCACAGAGTCTTGCCCTACCACAAAAATAGTAGCACAGAGCAAGACTGCCCTTTAATGGAAATATTTTAAAAAGCAAATTAAGAATCCAGAGACAAAGATGAATTTCAGGCAGCATGGATGATGATAGCATTTGATTTAGAAATGAACCTGTAACTTGGATGTTGTTATAAATCAAAAGGGTTATGTTTTTATAGGAGAAAAACTATAACAAGTCAGACTAAGTACCTACTAATTACTCATTCCACAATTAGAATTATGACAGTTTCGGGAACTGTAGAGTAAATCAAAAGAAAAATATTCAGGGAAATAAAATAAGTGGGTATAATTTTGTCCAACTTTATAACTTACAAGTACTGACAAAAGTAATTTTGTAGTCTTAAAATGAACCTAAAAGGCTCCATAAACAAGTATAAAAGGTATTAAATCTTTATCATGTGAGATTTCAGCACTATTAAAATAGTTTTCATCTCTACCACCCCCCTCCCACTACCTATGTTGTTATTAGACTCTCACTGCACATTTTCCCAGGAGAACTGTACCAGCTTACTTGTGAGTCTGCTTCTGCATACACTCGGACCACGTCTTCAGTACCAGAGGGCCGGACGAAAGCGCGGGACAGCTTGTACTTCTTCACCAGGTTATTGATTGCCTCCTGCAGTCCTGGGGGTGTGACCGCTTGCCTTTCAGCATCAGTGGTGCTAATAACTTGCCTGTCTGCAACCTATGCCAAAGCATTTCATATTTCTTATTGTATTTCACTCCCTCTTTAGAAGCTTAAGCTATTCACCATAACTCCCACCAAAGGATTATTTATGGCCATTTCATTTTAACAGTGGAGCTACATTTCAGTTTATTGTATCACAAATACAACACACAGTAAAGTTCCAGATTAAGTGTACCATGAAATTGCATTAAAGTTTTAAAATTCTATTAATTATCATTTCTTAATATCTGTTATTAAGTTCAACATATTTATATAGTTTGTTTCTTCAGTCTATAAAGAATTACCTTTATCAAAAAGAAATAACATTTCCAGACTACCTTACACTTACCATTAAAGTAATGGCCAGTAAATACTATATGACTTAAATTCATTAATCAAATAATCTTAGGTTGCCAGTTACCCTTTTTTAAAAAATCACCTTAATTATATAAGAGGATCATGATGAGAATCTCCTAAATATGCCAAAAACTAATCTGAACAATCAGCAGCCATTTCTGTGAACTCTGGATTTCATCTCTCACAAATCTGTTGTGAGAATATATACACTGATATAAATCTATACAGAAACCAATTAGCCATTTATCTAAAATGTCTTTCTCCCTTTGAACCCACAGGTTCCTACTGAGCAGCTAGCCTCGGGAAGCACTCTGCGAACCAAGAATAAAAAGGAAGTATTTTCACTGAAAACGATAGGCTGTCCAGGATTTGCTCCAAAGTAGTGTGGGGTGTGGAGAGTGTTCAGGACAATACAAACCTGCTGAATCTGGGCACACAGGGGCTCATTATTTTTACTCCACTTGTATGTTGTAAATTTTTCGTAGTAAAAATTTAAAAATGACGTGTGTCATTAAAAGTTTGGAAACCAAATACTTCTCAAACAAGAGAATAGTTAAGAGCGCCTCTGTAATTTTTAAAGATAGAAGAAAATATAATTAGATAATATAAGGCATTATTTTCTGTGTAATATGTACATATGGGACGAAATATGACACACTTGGGAAATATTTTTATGAAGTGAGATTTGAAATAACAGCTTTAAACTTTCAGAAAAGTAGTTAAGATCGTGGTCCCACCTGAACTTTGAGCTGCCTGTTGGGAAGATCCGCGTAGAGAGCGTCCCACTGCTGCACAGTCAAGCCTTTCAGAGCCAAGATGGCCTCGATCACGAGCATGTCAGAAATCGCATCGCCAGCTGCCTGTAGTGGGGAGAGACGACAGGAGAGACTGCCCTGATACACGGAAAGCTAAGACGTGAGTGTGTCTCAGAAAAGCAATCCTAGTCTCCTGTGCATCCTCCTCGCTCCACTCAGCATCTTAGTAGCTGCATGGGGAGCATCAGTGAGAACTGAACTGAAACTAGCTCTGGAAAAACTTGCCTTTAATCTTCCACCTTAGCTACAAAGTGAAATTAGACAGGATTACTCTTACGGCTACAGCATTAACATTCTATTTCAGTTTTTTTCTTTATATCTAGATTCTTTGTAAGATTAGCACACCATGATGGAAGATATTATGCAACGTAGTGAAGGAATATGAGCTTTCATGTAGGCCACTTAGTAGCTAGAAGACCTTCTTCCTTCATTTACGAAGTGACAGGTGTAATAACCCTTCTCCCTGTGTTAATGCAAGGATTCCATGAAAGGGCACGTAAAGTGCCCAAAATGTACAAGACGCCCAGTGTCACTTCCACCACATTGCCACGTCCTGTGCTTTGCTTGCTCTTCCATTGCCCTCAGCTACATTTGAGTCCCAACAACCTGACCCATGTGAGAGAACCAATTATTTTTCCTGAATTTCCTTGAGAAAATAGGCTTTAAAAAAACATGCTTAGTCAAATATATACTCTCAGTACCTGAATCTAGTGTCTATAGGTGGAAGCTACTCATTATACTAGAAAATTTTCATCAAAAAAATGTACGGTGAATGAAGCACACAGATGTCCTGTCACTGACATGTCAGCGTAAATCCCAACCGTACACGCCGCTTTTGTGAGGAAGCGCCACTTTAATGTTTTACACAGTCCACTGTATCGCCAGCCTTCTGCATAAGTAACGAAGAACCCACCAGCCCTACCTGGTTAAATAAATCAATGATGTTTTCAAGCATCTTAGCAGCTTTCCTTTTCTCATCTTCTGATTCTTTTGCTAGTTGTTTTATCTTTGTTTCCGCAGCTTTACTAAACAGTACCTGCAATGAAAGGGTACAAAAACCACAAAGCTCTACCACAGACCCAGTCTTAAGTACTATCATACTAGCTACACCACTTTCAAAACTCTCAAAGCAGAAGAAATTAAGGAGAGGAATAATGGCAGCCTTATAAGGTACAAAATTAATATAAGATCAAAGCAGAGCCCAAAAGATATTACTGGCAAAAAAGTTCCTTTATGGATTATAAAACTTGTTATCAAAATTCAAAGAGCTGGTGTGGCTCAAGTTGGTTGGAGCACCATCCCATAACCATAGGGTTGTAGGTTCGATTCTCACAGGGCATACACAGAAGAAAACCAATCAATGTTTCTCTTTTGCACTGTTGTTTCTCTCTTCCTCTCCCTCTTTCTAAAAGCAATGAAAAAATATCCTCAGGTGAAGAAAATACCACCTCGGCAAAGGTGCTCACATACATGGGCTCAATATATCTGTCCCTCAGCCAGGTACGTAAGCCTACCTCTATCCATTTTACCTTGAAGAACGTAATTCATTGCAGCTGGCATACTTTTGTGTCCTAAAGTTAAGGACAAGAGCTAAGCAAAAGTAGAAAGACTGCTCCTGTTTATCATGTTATAGCAAATAGTGCCATGAATATTTATTATACATCATGCTCCTCAGGATTTCCATCATTTTGAAATACCTTGCCCATGATTTTAGTGCCCTCAGATGCCCAGTGCTGAGGAGGAGTAGCGTACCACGTTCAGCCACTTGCTGAAATTCTTGCTTATTGGTAAACTAAGGGGCAGGTTGGTCACTTACTTGACTGAAACACAGACATACCCATTCATTCACCCTACGCCAGCAGAGCTGACCAGTTGATACAGAGACATTATAGTCTCGAAGCCTAAAATATTTCCTATGAGCCCTTTATGTTCATTTACCAATCCCTGCATTAGATCGTCAGTTTATTTTACTCGTATTTTCTAAGAAGATTATTTTTCTTCTACTTATATTCATTGCCTCTAGAAGCCAATTTTAAAAATAATGAGGAAACTTATTTGACCTAGATAACTATGTGTTGGTCACCTCAAATCCATGTATGAAATAAGATGATATATAAAACATTTAAAGAAAAACTATGAACCTTATGAACATATTAGCAACCACTTAACACACCTTCATACTGTGAATTTTGTGTTAGATGAGTTGTATCTTAAAAAACCTTTTACAGCATTGTTAAGAACACCGTTAATATATATATATATATATATATATATATATATATATATATATATATATATACGCTTATTCCTAACTACTTTAGACTCATTTCCAGTTGTTTATAACTTAATTCTTCAGCTATCCAACACTTTTCAATTTACCACACGTAATGTACTTTTCTTTTACCACCTATGGCCAGTTGACAAAAAATATTTTAAATGATTTATATATAGTCTGCTCATAAAAAGTAAATTATAAGAAACTATACTGTAAGGACAAGTTAGCATTATTTCTTCATTCAAAAAATATCACTGCAATCTAAGAGACCCAGTTTTACTGCACGTAAAAACAGACTAAGTTAACCAAGTAATCAAATTCTACCACCATCCCAGTCATTTCAACAAAGTAGATTACCTATCATTACCCAGATACAGAATTCCCATCATAAAAAAAGTGCCAGCTAAAGCTGTAATTGTTTGAGAACTTACTGTGCCATGCCCATTTGCTTCAAAATAAACTCCAACATCAAATTCTTGAGCCTTGTGGTGCAAATGTTTTACACCAGTTTTAGTACAATAGACTGGTACCTATGAGACATTTTTAAAAACATGACAGTTATTCAACCAGCAAATTTATTGTGTACCAACCACCCACGAATATTAATAGGGAACAAAACCTGGAGCTTAATCTAGTGAGGAAGACAAAGCAATGAAAACCAGAGTGGTTACCATGGGGAGGAATAGAAGGCACTTAGATGCACAAATACGAGGGGAAAGGGAAGTGAGAGAGAGGACAGTCTCTTCATAAATCCATGCAAGACTTCAAGTGGAGGAGTGGCACCATCTGCTTCAGGAAGCTCAGCTTAGCTCCCGTGTGGAGAGGGACTTAGAGGAGCGCTGCAGCTTTTACTATCAAGGGCCGGAAAATTTGTTAGGCTTTGCGGGCCACATGGTCTCTGTTCCAATTCTGTCACTGTGGTGAGAAAGCAGCCACAGACAACACAAAACCAAAAGAGCATGACTGCATTCCCATGAAACTACAAACAGGAGGCAGGTTGGATTTGGCCCACAGGCCACTGCTCATTAACCCTCCTGCTTAGATGGTCTGCTAGGAGTTACCCAGTAAGAAGTTATGGTGGCTGGATTAGCAACAGTGGACACAGAAAGTCTTTAACAGATCTGATAAAAATGGTTAAGAAAAATCTAACAGTACAAAACTGCAAAAAAAAAAAAGAGAGAGAGAGAGAGAGATCCAGATTAAATAAAACCAACATTTGACTGGATTTAGGAAACCTAAGAAACTGCTAGGGCTAAAAGTACTTAATCTATTAGAAAATGATTATAAAGTAACAGTTCTGACATACTCAGTTTCTTAAACAAGGTATCTTACCTATAAGAAATTTTTAAGATACAAATTGTATTTAAAATACTAAAACAACCCTAAGCTCTGAAAAATCCCCATGAAAGGTAGGCAATTGGGCCCCATATGGGAGTCCCTTGAGTAACCTTATTGTAACCGAATTCAGGGTGGGGCAAAAGGCGGTTTACAGTCATTCACATGGAAAATAACGTGATAATAAATAAGACAATAAACTTGTTTCACATACTCAATAACTGTAAACCTGCTTTTGCCCAAGCCTTAAATCAGGTCACAAACTCCAGCCTCCAGATACGTTTTACTGTGCCTAGCCACTATTTCTTTTCAATTTTAAATCAGTTGCCAAGACTTAACAAGTAGGAAACTCACATGGGAAGTCATGGTTTCAGATTCTCCTCTCAAAGAATCTGACTTAAGGTGAGAGCAGCTGGCTTGGGCACACTCCTCCTAGTCCCTATCTCCCTGCTGTCCTCATTCACCTACAGAAATCTGGCTTTGACATTCCTGCTTTAAAACGAAAGGAAAGGCAAAAATAACTAGCAAAATGCAGGAACTTAAACAGGCATACACAAAAGTTAGAAAATATTCCAGTAGCTAGTGAGAAACAGTAAAGGTGAATGGACCCGGTTTGGGCCCTGAGCGCTCCAACGCTGCTGTAGAGCAGTGTGGTGCAGAGGGCGGCCATCTGGCGGACACCAGGACGGAAACCTGCCGACCCAGAAAGCTGCTCCACAGAAGGGGAGTGAGAAACCAGTTTTACTACTGAATAAGCATTAAGTCAGACTTGTGGTACCCGTCACAGGCACTCTGCTAAGACACTGCTAAATAGGAAGTCTCTTTTTGCATCAGGGACAATTCAGTTTTTTCTTTTGATTTCTATTTACCTTACATGAATGAAAGCTCAGCTTCATGCACAACTCATTTGCTTTTATGAGGGTATTATCTTCCTCACAGAATTTATCTTACAGCAGAATTAAGAAACTACCAGAAAATGGAAATGGTTCAGTACCTTCATAACTTCTTCAAGAAACCGTGTTGAACTTCCGTTTGCATATGCAGTTTGTACAACACCAATATTCAAATTTTCTCCAATCTAGACAAAAATAATGATCTTACATCAAAAGTAAAGACACTACAAAAAATATTTTTAAAAACTTTAAAAAATGAAGGCAAGCAACAGAAATACTGCAAAAAAAAAAAGTAAAGACATTACAAAAGCAAAGTTCTAAAGGATGACAAAGTTATCCATGACTTCGGCAGTGCTTTGGTTTATGCAATAAATGACTCAAAGGAAAAAGTAACTTCAGATTCCTAAACCAATTCCCCAAAGTTGAAATGACTGGACTTACCATTTCTTTCTGTATCTTCCAGTCACAAATATAGGAATTTCCAAAAAATTGCACCTTTGACACATTCAAGTGACTGCTACAGAACTACCTCACCACAAGGCCTGTTCTGAAGGGCAGTCAGTCACCCTCCCCCATACCTGCAAGAGGAGCTCTGTGAGGAAACTGCTGATGAGTGCTGCTATCTTGTCCCCGTCTATGAGGTGAAAGCGGCCGTCCGCATCAGAGTAGTAGTAAACAATTCTGTCTGCGTCGCCATCGAAGGAACAGCATCTTTCATTGGACTTCATTTCCATTCCTAGCACACAGAATAATTACAAGTGCATTTCTGTCTAAAAAATGCAAATACAACTCAATATAAAAAGTTTTAGCTTTTTTCCTTATACTAGTTACAAGGAACAATTTTTTTTCACTGAAGTATGATCACTGCCCTTACATGTTATGTTACATGTAACATGTAAGCATGTCCACTATGATTATTCAACAAGTATTTCAAATTATCCTCCCATTTAAAACCACTGTCTTAATATTCAAATAGTATGCAGGCTTACTGGTAGTTTTTACAAGGTAAATTCTTTCACAGCTAACTGAAAAAGCAGCATTCAAAACCTATGCTGAAACTTGACATAATGCTAAAATAAAATTCTAGTTTATGCCAGCTAGTTTGGCAAGACATGTTCCCATATCATTTTTTGAAAGCTACAGGTATTCTGAATGCAGTTTATCTAGTCCTATGATGTCCTTTATATATAAAAAAATCAGCGATAGATGAGGTATGTGCTTTGATTTAATTCAGATAGAAGTGATTTTTATTTGTTCACACCATAAATAACAAGAAACACCAGAAAGTAAGAACACAGAATTATAACCAATGAGAAACTTTGCTGGGAATATCACTATAAGGCTGGCTACAGGATACAACATAAGCCTCATGAAAGCCGGGGCTTATGGTTTCATTCATACTGTAGTCCCAGTGCCAATGGCCAGAGAAAAAAAGCTCATGATTTACAGAATGGATACAGGGACAGAGAACTGAACTGTCAGTGAAATAATAGTCAAACCTAGCAATTCAAGGAAAGGAGCTTAAACTGGTTAATTAAACTGAAGGTTTAAACGCTTACTACATCGAGGCAGAAAACACCGTCAGTGAGAAGGACACTGAGGGATCTGTGGACGGCTGAAGGGTGCGGCGCCCGCCTGAGGGGCTGGGGCTGCTCCGCTGCAGCAAGTTAATGTAAGAATGGACATCTGATTTTGGCAAAGAGAAGCCAGATTCCAATATTTAAGTAAAATCAAAGCATTTTAAATGGTGGTAACTAATGCAGTTAAACACACACACACACACACACACATACAATAGACCAAACAAAATATATCTGCAGGACAGGCTAACAATTTTGGATCTATAATGTAACTAAATATAGAACATCTCTTACTACAACCACACTCCAAAGAACAGTCTGTCTGCCTACTAACATGCTCACTATGGAAAACGCTGATTTGGGGAACAATTACAATTCAGCAGTTGGGAGTCTCCTCCTATAGCGTGTCTAATTCTAAAATGAAAAACAAGGCTACTTAACTACTGCTACCCTCTAGGGCAGTAATTCTCAAAGTGTGGTCCGCAGACCCGCACTACCCGAAGAGCCCGGGCGTGTGACAGAGACGCAAATCCCCATGCTATACAAACCCTACCCAGACGCACAGAGTCAGAAACCCTGACGCAGAGCCCAGGAAACTACGTTGGCAGTTCTCCGGAATACCGAATTCCGACTGTGCTTTCCCCACCAGCTTTCGCACATGTTGTGAGGAGCCCTGTGGCTCACGGGCAGGGAGAGTTCACGTCGGAATGGCACCGATGAGTGCAAATGCGCTCAGATGTCTAAACACTGCACATCAAAGACCAGCTACAGCACTCTGCACTCATTCAGCCACTCGTTTATAAATGACGATGGTTTCAAAGCTCCAGAAACAAATTTGTTCTACATACCTTGTGGAGGTTTCTGATGACTTTTCACAAAGTCAGCCCCACATAAATGGTTGAGTCTCCCTTCAGTCCCAACATTGAACAGCTGAAGCGAGAGCCCCTGGGAGAGGTAGCGCTCCATTTCCCCCAGCTTCAGGGCCCCTATGCCGTTTGCACAGTCGACCCTGAGTGACTGAGACCCATCTCCACTGCAGGAAGCCTTGGAACAAGAGGCACAGGGAAGAAAAATGTCAAGTTCTAAAGGCAACGGTGAAGCATAAAGCATGTACATGTATATGTAAAAACCCTCCATTATTTCAGTTAGCTCATCTAGTTTAAACCAAGAAACAACGAAGTACACACATTCAGGTGAAAATCATACATATCACAGTACAATTTTTCAATACATTTTTGAACACTCTGACATTGGAACAGTTTCATGATTGAACGACTGATGGAAATGGAACTTGTTAAACGGAAAATTAACTTTCATGCTGAAAGCCATCACTAGATACAAAAGGACCAAGTGTCTTGGGGCCTGGAGTCTAAAACCCAGCAGCATAGCTAGACAGAGAAGACAAACACGACGACCATCATCCCACAGTTTTGCAAGTGTTTTTACACATCACATACAGGGGAGAAAGAGGTAAACTGTTCCGAAAGGGTTTACATCAGCTACAGACAAAGGGGCCAGGAGAAGGGGAAGCAGGGCAGCTCTGGGATGTCTGCACCCTTGGATAGGTTGCGAGCAGGTCTGGGAAGTTCATAAAAAAGCAAAGGCCTCCTGGGGCTGGAAGACACCTGGCCATTCTCTCTTCAGAATAATCAGAGACTTAACACCTGGAACTTACATTGAAGTTCCAACAGACACACTTGAATGTGAGCAGCCTTTTGTTAGCTGGTCCACAGCTATTAACAAGCTAACTGTTCCATCTCTCTTGCTCTCTGGACACTGTACTTTAGAACATCTCAGATTTTTTTTTGGTCAAGCTTGATAAGCATTAGCCTCAATTAAGCAAGGTCCCTTAAAAATAATGTTATAGATAGAATGAGCAGTAAGAACATGTCATTCTCTTCACAGCATATAACACCGCTGGGCATTCTGTATGCTTTGTCTAATTGTCGGTCTCCCTTCGTTATGATCCTCACTTCAGAATATAAATTCTATGAGAGCAAGGGCTTTGCTCGGGATTACTGTGCCTGACAGAAACATACAGTCAATATCTGTTGATCAAGTGAATTCAATTCCTCAAATCTCATCCAGGTTTAGCAAGCCAATATCCTTAACAAGGAAGATCTTCACAACAGCAGATATCTCAAGTGTGATGCCAATAACACCAACTTGCTTGAGAGTAAATTCACATGAATACTCATTAGCACAAGAACACCACCAGGTCTGTTTCCCCCGAGATCTCAGACTGTGTTACATGCCTTGCCAAGTAAATGCCCACACACGGTTAGGATACAAGGGCCAGACTTTAGTACCCCTGGAAAGAAAAAGATTTGCCGAATTTTTGGAAAAGGAAGAGGAGTGAAAAACTATGCAATTATAATAATAAATTGCTCAACTGCCGTTATTTCATTTACTTGCATAAGCCCCAAGCTCATTCAAACTTTCACCTGTTTGGTAAGCTCCACGAAGGCCGCAGACAGTTTCTGGTAGTACCCATCCAGGGTGGCCTTCCCGTACTGGCCGCTGGTATTTCGACAGTACACCATGTAGTGCAGCTGTGGCGTCGTCAGAAGGCCGTAATCTGCCACAGAAATACGAAAAACAATGTACCACGTTTCTTAGTAAAGAGAAAGAAGTTTAAATGGATTCCAACTATAGGGATTTCAGGGTGCCAAAAGACATCTCAGAGAACACAAAATGCTAACTTTCAAATGGCACAAACATCCACTGAAGTCATTAAGAATGCACATCACAGCCCTGGCTAGTGTAGCTCAGTGGCTTGAGCATGGGCCTGCGAACTAAAAGATCGCGGTTCCATCCCCAGTCAGGACACATGCCTGGGTTGCAGGTCAGTTCCTAGCAGGGGCCAGTTCCCGGCAGGGGACACACGAGAAGCAACCATACATTGATATTTCTCTCCCTCTCTCCTTCCCTTCCCTTCTAAAGACAAATAAATAAATTTTTTTAATGAAAAAAAAAAAAAGAATGCACATCACACAGTGGTACTATGATTTACAGTAAGAAATATGTATTTGGTCTTTGTCCCCATTGCAGACAGAATTTCTAAACCCTGGGAATTTCTTAAGCAAAGAGAGCAATAAGTTCTCTTTTGTTACATTGAAAAGGTGACCTTTGGAAGCCCCCAGGTAACCCAGCTGCTTACCTGGGGAACCAATCACAGGATTATAGGGCACTTTCAGCCCTCCCCCTCCACCTGCCAATTTCAGGGAGAGAGGCTGGAGGGGCTAGAGATTAAGTTCAATCACCAATGGCCAATGATTTACTCATTTATCCCTAGGTAAGGGAGCTTTCAGGAAAATCCAAAGTCCAAAAGCTCAGGGTTCTGGGTTGGAGGACACACGAACAGGAAGTGGCAGCTCAGAGAGCCTGGAAGCTCTGAGCCCCTTTCCACACAGCTGGCCTTACGCATCTTCTCACCCTAGCCACTCTTGAGTTAAATCCTTTATAATAAAGTGGTAACCTAGGAGGTAAAACACTCCTCGGTGTTCTGTGAGCTGCTTTAGCAAATCAACGAAACCCAAGGAGGTGAGAACCTCCAGACAGGTCGGAAGCCCAGGAGACTGGGAGGGGAAGTGGGAGGGGGACGGCGGTCTTAGGGGACGGAGGTAGGACTGGGCACCACCTCCAGGCAGACAGTGTCAGAACTGACTGTTCTGTGGTATTAGAAGAAATACACATTGGACATAAGCTCAATTCTAAAAAAATATGAACTACTATTGGGAGCAAAAAAAAAAATCAGTCTAGAGAAATAATAATAAAAACAGCAATACAGAAAAGTAGTAGTTGAGTTCTATTTCCAGTAACATCACAAACTATATAATTAAGATAGACACTCCTACAAACAATCAAAAGGCTAACTAAAAACTCTTTTCCAAAAAAGAACTACAGTGCCAACATGCAGCAGGGGAAGTAGACCAAAATCGGTGGAAGTAGAGGAACTCCAAGACTGGAGCCAAGGAGACAAGTTTCATTCTCCGGCACTCCTCAAAACTTGAAATTGAGCTATGGTTTTCGGTGGGGAAAAAAGTCCATGTTGTTCTAACATGGGGAACCCAGTAGAAGACCAGGCCCCAAAGGACTATTCTTCAGTGTAAGAGTGAGTCAAAAGTGAACCAAAAGTGAGTCACACGTCCCCTCCCAGGAGTGCCATCTGGGAATGCAGTACAGCGGAGGAGAAAACTTGTGGCTGAGGAGCTATGAGCATAACCACAAGCACAGGCCTCCCATGCATTTCCAGCCCAAATCCCCATAACAGCATGGGTCTAAAAGAACCTTGTCATCAAAGAATCATGTCATCACCAGCCAGGTGGTACCCCCAGCACAAGTAAACACTAAACTCTGCCAGAGAAAGTTACCTTCATCATAAACCTCAAAAATGTCCCACAAATAATTTTTCAAAAGAATCACCAAAAAAACCTAACAGCTTACATTAAAAAATCTATACATACACACACACACACACTCTCTTTCTCTTTCTCTCTCTCTCTCTCTCTCTCTCTCTCACACACACACACACACACACACACACACACACACAGGTACCATGAGCAAAGAACAGGAGAAATGGACCAGCATCTAATAAACATTGAACGACTAAATCTGTCAACGGTCTTCAAAGTCATTCACCAGTTTGCACTGGAGGCAGGAAGTCATTTTATTTAATAAGATCTTGAGCCCTGCAGTTACAAAAGAACTGGTATTTTATGAAGCCAACTTCGGCTTAGGTAGAAGAATTTGATGAGAGAAACTCCAAAAAGTAGGTAAGAGCTTAGACCAACTCAATGGAACCATCAAAGGAGGAAAAACACTATCCCGAAACACAGATTAAAGGATGAAACAAATTTTGTGACCACTATCAAAATTACCAAATAAACATTTACTAAACGACTATACACAGTTACTCAATAAAAAGCTCAACCATCTATTCCACTGATAAACCCAGAAACACAGAAGCCATTCTTTACAGTTCTGTCCTCATCACATCACAAAATCCTTTCAATTAATTCCAATTTTTTTCCATTTCTTTTGCTATCATCACTCTTGCACAGTCTCTGGCTGGTCTCTCTTTCTTACAACCTTCCTATCCCTCTCCATATAAGTGCCAGAATGACTGGCTTAAGATGAAAACATAACCATACTCTCATGCACAAAACCCTTCAAAGGAATCCTGTTGCATTTGTTATAAAACCCAGACCTTCACCAAGACCCATAAGGCTTGAGACAGCTTGGCCCCTGCTTACCTCCCCCATCGTATCTTCCACTAGCTTCCCCCATGTTCCCTGTGCTACAGCTCCATTAACGTTCTTTCATTTCCTGAAATACGCTTAAGCTGAAGAGAGAAATGAAAGTTTTAAAAAGTAAACTAAAAAAATGTTAAACTAGGACAGGAAAAACGTAATGGTTGTAGAGACAGAATCTACGTGCTAAAAACATCAACCACTCTAGGGACAGCAGAAGGAACGGCTTTGGGCAGAGGGAACACAGAGCAAGGGTGGGCCACCGAGTGCCACTCAGACCCACGCCTGGCAAACTGCAGGCTGAGCTCTAGCAGGTCACAGAATCCAATAAAACACACCAGCAATGCTACATTTTCTAATGAAACAGATGAATGCATATTGTGTATATGGGTAAGCACTATTCACTGAAACTTTTATTTCAGTTATACACACAAGCACACATACACACATCCTGATACAAAATGGGTTTCATAATACAGTTGTGATATGCAGTGAAATAGACTACTGGGGGGTTGTAAACAGCGGGCATTCAGTAATGTCTGGTAAATAAAAGAATATACACAGCTGCTGTGGCAGTTAAGATGGCCATTCACACATCAGGCAGAGTGAAAGGAAGAAGTGAATAGTCGTATCAAGAGAGACAGAGAGAAGCCCACAGAAATCACCAATAAGGAATAGTGGCCAAGGAAGTAGAAGCTTAAACAAAGAGGGAGGTCACAGTATGGAAAGCCACCAAGACAGCAAAGGAAATAAAAATTTCAAAATATAAATTCTGAAAGTTCTTTTTAAGTGGCAGACCCTTTGAATATCTCATAAAAGCTATGCGTTCTCTCCCAGGAAACTGAGTGTGTGTGCAGGTAACATGTGCACACTGCACTGAGTGGAATGCAGGGTCCTGCAGCATAACGATGCCCCCCCACCAGTCCCCAGGCCCGAGTTAAGAATCCCCACTTTCATAACAGCTTTACAATTCACACTGTCGGGACTCACTTCGGAGGAGGACAAGCATGGAGGCTGGCCTATAGTAGGCTAAGTAATAACTAGAGGAGCAAAGAGAGAAGCAAGGCAAACACACAGCTGGAAAAAGCCAGATAAACTGAAGGAAGGGAAGACACGGGCACTGCAAAGGAGGCTGGAAAGGTTAAGACACAAGAAAGAGCTAACACTCGGAAAAAACCTCCAAGCACAGAGGAGTCACTGCATTCGCAAGGGACAAAACAGATGCAAAAAGAGGATTAGAGCCTCTGTTTTGGGGCATTTAATACTTCGATTTGTTAAAATAGGTGTGAAAAGCCTGTCAAAATTTAAAGGCATGATTATAAGTAGACCAAAGATACTCCCCATCACTCTCTGACAGTGACCAGCTATTAGAGAGCAGCTGATCCGGACAGAAACTCTGCTGGACTGACTTCTGCAAGTAACTTCAAGGAGCGTTATATCAAGAAATTCAGCTTTACTAAAGAAAGGTGTTTAAGATGTGTTTCCTATGTAGTCTGTATTTAAAACAAAATATGCATGTCCAGAAAATTTTTTTTCATTTTAAAAGGTATTTTATATGTAGTTCATTTTTTAAAAAAAACTTTATAGCATTTTCAAACCTTTCTAAAATAAATATCTTCTTTTCTAACTTTTTAAAAAGTTTTTTAAAGATTAATTTACAACTCAGGGTAACTACATACCATGAAATTGACCTCCTAAAACAGTGATGCCATCTATTACCGAAAGTGCAAGTTTCTCACTGCTGGGCCTAGGAGAGAAAAGGGAAAAAATGATACATCCCGTCCTGAAACCAACATGGTGGCTAGTTCTGAAAACAAATGCTGAAACTATGTGCAACAAATACTAGAATAGTAAGTTCACTGTATATGAACTGAAACCTATCAAGTCTGAAAACATAATTTCCAGGAAGTATAAATAGTCTTTCACAATGTTATTTCTTGGAAAGATGATAACTTTTAAATGGATTAAGAAAACAGATATAAAGAGCATACTAATTATACCATACCAAGTGCATTTTCAAGCATGTCAATAACTGCACAAAAATGTCTTTTTGTAAAGGAAGTCAAAGGCTGCCAAATATGACAAATTTGTAAAACTAAAATGTTAATATTTTTCAGTGAACTCCAGCATGAGAAAATAATACAAATATATCACACGACAGTAACACAGATTATAAAACCAATCTCTAAAAACAATGAGTTGAAATTATATGTTCTCTAGGGGAAAAAAGTAAGCCTACACAAGTAAAGGAGCGGGAGACATTTGTTAAATATTTCTCTCGTGCCAGGAAACACACATTTTGCATACATGGTTTCATGTAACCCTCACCAAAACCCTGCATCAGGACTTATCATCAACACTTCAGAGATGAGCAACGGGAAGCTCCAACGGGTTAAAGTGCACAGTAAGTGTCAGAGTTGGTGTTCCAATGCCAAAAAAAACGAGTTGCAGCAGGGACTTGGTTCCCACATCCCACTACAAAGGCCAGGTGGGATGAAGCCTCTCAGGGTGGTCCTACTAAGTTTCTTTCAAAGTCTCATGGGCACTAAACCTGATACAATCATTTATACCGAGTTCCCAGAGGTGCGTTCACCAGTAACTCGGATGGTCACCTGGTATCTCTCCCAATCACTATGAAGGCATCTTGTTGCAGATCCACAGATGCTTTCTTACTGATGTCCAACAACACACTCTGCATGTCTTGCTCCTCAGCATTTGCCAAACAGGTAGCATGTTCCTCCCAGGAAGGAGCCAGCATTTCACCCAAAGGGTCAACCAATTTGACACCATTGTCTTCCTTAAAAGAAAATGATAAGTCATCTGAAGTCATCTGTACATATTCAAAAGGATGAGTTGAGGCAGGAACTGCAAGGTGTTTTTCCTCCACAAGGGGCAGTGATGACCGCGTAGCTTCACCCGTGACCCCTACTGAATGCCAGGCACTAGACTAGGCATTTTACACACATTAGCTCAGTAAATCCTAAAGACCCCGCATATCAATCTACTATTCGTAGCACTATTCCAAGAAAACAATGATTCAGACCAAGTAATTTGTTTATATTCATACAGCTAAGAAGCATCAGTGCTGACATTAAAAGATTAAGTCTATCTCACTCTCACGCCCAGTAGAACACACTAGTTTTAAAAGGCTGACATCCGTGCACACTCATCATTTAACTGACTAGGGCACAGCTGGAGCAGAATGAGGGCACTAGAGAGCCTTCTCATGATGACTCTAGATTTGAAGCCCGTCCTGGCCAGTGTGTCCACCAGTGGGTGGCACAGAAGCTGAAAACTGACTCCTACCCCGTTCTGCTCAAATTTCTGAAAAAAAAAAGCATAGTTGAGAAATAGCTCAAAATTATTTTAAGAAATTCTTCTGGAACTAGCAATAAATGTGAGGCCTTGCCTATAGGTAATTAATCACTTATGGGAATTAGATATTTAAACACTTCACATATTTATAGTGATGCACATTTATAAATTGGGTCAGCAAAGTCCTCTTGTTTGGGGGGAAGAGATTATAATCCTTCACTAACCTAAATAGCTTTAATTTACTGTTGATTTAGCTACAAAGGCAAAAATCGCCTGCCCTATCAACCAAACAAGCATATTATTCAAACCATGTTCAAACTACTCAAAAGTAGGTTTGCAGTTGTTCATAAGAAAAATAATACAAAAGTTAATAAATAATAATACAAGAATAAACTGTTTTGCATCCTCAGAACTATAAACCTACTTTTGCCCCACATGTATCGGTGAGCTACAGAATAAAATAGTTCAGTTGTATCAAAAGGAATATTTTGATAAAAAATTATCATAAACACTAACACATCGGCCAAATCAATATTTTGCCCTGAGGTCACTTTGGGATCCCTTGAACCTCCTGTTGGGCTATTTCTTCAGAACAGGAAATATTCCCCAGGTATTAAAAAACCTGTCTGAAAATTTTCAAAATGTGCTAATTCTTTGCAAGTGCGTGCTCTTCCCCCACCTTGGGTCTATTAATTTCTGCTAAATTAACAGAGGTAAGACTTTTTATTACTGATATTTTGACAATACAACTAGTTTGGAAGGACATTCTGTTATTTCTCTAAAATGGACACTCCCCTAAAAATAACAGTCTCACTTCATTCCCTCCACAACCTCAAAGAGTCATGAGCTAAATAACCACTCATAAGAAAAAGCTGTTTCAAATCCAAATGCAAAAACCAACAAGGCACATTCCTAGAACTGGAATTTCTACATGGGGACAAACTTCTCAGACACACTAAGGTTTGGTCTTATAAAGAAAGGTTTCTTTCTCGGAGCACTAAATACACACCTCAGGATTGTGTGATGCTGTTACCATGACACCTATTGTAGATTGTGTCTGTTTTGACCTTAGAACGGCTAATAACCCCATGCGAAACATGACATGATCAAGATGCTCTGCTTTCGTCCGAAATCCAGCAGTCCCATATTGAAGAATGAGTCCATTGGGCTTGGCATGCACTGCTGAGTGTTTGGTGATAGCTTCTAAATCCATGCCTACAAAATTAAGGAATACTTTTTAGGCACAGGAAGAAACCTTTTATGGAGCATTTGATTCAAAAATGCCACCCCAAACTAATAGGCATGCGTCACTTTAAACCTCCCTAGAGAACCAAGTCTGAGAGAGATGATAGAGCAAATCCTGGAAGTTAGTATCCCCCAAAGATCCTGACCCACTTATACTGTCACTCCAGGGCAGAGATCACATGAGCTCCAACTCACCTCCCATTATGGCTCCAGATGGGCCCGGCACAAATTGAAAATGGCCCACTCTCAACTAAAAATGAAGATTCCACACAGAGATTCAGAGATTCCTACAAGAGCAAATATCACCTCATTGTAGAAAGAGGGCAACTTAAGTCTGGGCCCCAGTTAGATAAGCAAGTTTACATAGGTAGCTGGTGACACTGAAGCCTAAGGTCATATTCTCAAATGGACTGGACCTACATTTCCAAAATATCTGGGAAATCTGTGAAGTTCTTTTGCACTTCTTCCCAGCCTACAGAGACATATTCCAAGATGAAAAGCAAAGGGTAACAGTCTCTTCTCCAAAATGTGACAGTGGATTTTTCTATTTTCATAAGGATCAGGACATCCTTCTAAATTAAGCTCTGAAAATGGCAACATCTTCCTTTAACCTTTAATTAAAAAAGAGCAAACAGCTTAACCCTCTAGCCTTACTTAGTCCACTTAGTCACCTTGTTCTCTGAGATACTCCAATTTTAAGTGGCGCTTGAGGCTTCCAAATTCAGTTGTAAGTACTACTCAACTTCCTGGGTCAGTCCCATTTCCAATCATCGAAGAGATGGGGAGCAGTCCCCCATCTACGAGCCTCACCACAGGCATACCTGGTAGGCATTGTGGCTTGGGATACAGTCAACAGCAACAAAGCAAGTACTGCAATAAAGCTAGTCATAATCTTTTTGCTGATGGAGTGTCTTGCCTTCAATTTGTAAAATGAGTAACATCTGTGAAGCACAATAAAGCTAATAAGCACCATAAAATAAGATACGCCTGTATCTTGTTTTCTGCATTGTCCGTAATTCAATGAACAAAAGCTAAAGGAAATGGTGAAAAATGTTTGCTTTTGTTCATTTGGCAAAAGCCAGCATTCAGCAAGCTAATTTAGTTCAGTCCAAAGTGATCAAATCTCTTTTACAAGCAAGAATACATTTTGTTAAAAACTGACCAGTCGGTAATGTGCATGATTACTCACAGGGCGTAAACCAACCCTGCTAAGTCCAAGAGATCTTTTTTTTGAAGTTACGGTAAGTGCACCCCTAAACGCGTTTTAGGTGCTGAAACTACTATCAATGAATATGTGAACGCTCTTATTGAAAGTATTACCAAGAAGTCCACACAGTGCCCAGTCTGAAAACGTTAAGTGTCCCCCTGCCCTCCATTCCAACATCGACACCACGTCTGTCCCTCCTATACCCTTCCCGCCCGAGGCCCCGGGCCCTGCCCGGGCTGGGCAGCACGAGACTGCGCAGCACGAGACCCTCGGACCGACCGACCAGCCGGTTTCCTCGACTCCGTGGCGAGTGGGTGTGTCCTGCGCGCCGTCCTTGAGTCAGTCCGTTAGCCTAACCACGAGCCCGCAGGGCGGCCGAACCCCTGTAGACCGCAACGTCCGGTGTCACCTCCAAGCCGCAGGGCCCCGCTCACCTCTGCCAGAAGACTCGCCCTCACCTCCACGGAACAGAAAAGCGGCCTCGCCGCGGCGCCTGGAACCACCCAGGGACTCTCGGACCCGCAGACGTGGCTCTGCGTCGCTTCCGGCTCGTCGCCACGCCCCTCAACCAATCGCTGTGAGGGAGGGTTCGCTCGCCGCGCCCCGCCCCCTCCGGGATCGCGCGCAGCTGGCGCCCGGTGGAACTGCGGAACTGGGGTCTGAGCGGGCTTGGGGCTGTTTCGATTGAGTGACCGAGAAGGGTGAGGCCGCCGCGGTGGCCCGGGATTTGGGGCCTAGGGTCGCGGGCCCTCCGAGCACTGCGACCAGAACATGCCCAGCCCCGCCTCCAAATTTGGATCTGGGGGTGGCCAATCCCATCCGTCGTCGTGGGAAGCCGGGGATCCCAGTGACCTTGGATGGGGTTGGGGGAGTGCCTGTCGCGATCTGGGGCCTCTGACAAGGTGGTCTCGGCCACAGTGAACGCCACCAGTTTTTTTGCATCGGCTTCTTGATTCTTGAGGTTCATCTTCCAAACCGTTGACTCTGGGAGGCCTTATTGGGCCACCACTCCCGCCCCATTTCCACCTTTTTAAGACTAAATTTCATTTATGTAACTGTAGGGCACCCCCCCCCCACCCAAACCTGGGCCCTTGGGGCGGGGGCAAATAGATTCAAATCGTCCAGAGCTCTCCTGACGCCAAACCCCCGCCGGTGTTGTTCTCTGTAAAGGCCCACCCGCGATGCGAGAGGGGCCGAGGGGCGACAACTGGCGTTGGTGGCAGCGGTGCCCTCGAGACCCCAAAGCCTGGGGACCCAGAGCTCCGCCCCAACGGCACTGCGGGGTTCTCTCATCGCAGCGTCCAGGTCTGCCCATGCCAGACACCTGGGAGAATTCAGAAGCTGGGCCCCTTGCCTATTCCAGAATTAAGGCTTTCAAAGTGTCCACAGATGTTTGCCAACCACCTGCAACGAAGTAATTCGGAACACTTGTTGAAAGTCCACATTCCCGGATCTAGATCGAAAGTGGAAGTAGGGGAAAGGCACTGGGAATCTGAATTGTAACGAAGTATCTTGGGGGATGTTGCGCATACTAGATATTGGGGTCCAGGAAATAAAGGAGAAAGAGCGTAAGCGTGCCCGTTTGTGCCCAGGTCTCAATGCTTAGCGTTTCTGCAAAACTGCTTCCGAGCAAAGGGACCTTCGGGAAATTTCGGTAGGCACTGCAGACTGACAAACCCAGTGTCTCTGGGCCTTTCCAGTTTTCCTGGCAGGTTGATATCAAGACAACAAACATGTCCTCCACTCCTATGAAAGAGTGCCTGCAGCTTCAGTTGCTGGAGATGGAAATGCTGTTTTCTATGTTTCCTAACCAAGGAGAAGTAAAACTTGAAGACGTAAATGCCCTGACGAATATAAAGAGATATTTGGAAGGCACAAGGGAGGCGCTGCCACCAAAAATTGAATTTGTGATAACACTCCAGATTGAGGAGCCCAAGGTAAGTGCCCTGAGTTGTTTCAATTGTTGCCATGGCCTAGTTTTTATTGGAAACACTTGGGATATGAGCTTTTGCTCCAGGAAACAAATAGAGAATATTCCAGATGGGTATTTCCTTTAGTCGTTTGAAAGCAAGATATGTGATGCCTTGTAAATCGTCTTCAACAAACATCCTGAATTGTACATAGACATTCACACTCCTTGTAAACAAATATGCCCAGTTTGTTTTATTAAAAACATCTTACCACCATTATTCTGCTCAGCCATCCATTTTTTTACCAGTCCAACTATTATAGGATAGACACTCCTGTACACATGTGACTTTTACAAATCTAAACATGGATTTCAGCAAAAATGGCTTTTAAGGAGTAAATGAATGTTTCTCTGGTGGCACCCGAAACACAGAAAGCAAATATAGATAGCAAAATCTAAATTCTAAAAATGAAATTACCTTCATCTTCCGATCCATTTACCTCCAGCACTAGCACAGCATAGGGAACCAGTGGACTCGGCATCTGAGGACAACTCTCTCAGATTCTCCAACCAACCCTTTGTCATTCCCTGAGAGGCGATGTCTTGGGTCCCCATACTGGATCCAGTCCCCCTGGATACACATTTCATTGGATCCCTATAGTCTTCCACAGTAATGCTTCTCACCATTGAAATTAAATACTTGCTATGGGTAATTACTTAATGTCTGTCTGCTTCACTAGGATCTAGACTTTACAAAGGGCAAAAATGGTGTCTTCATGTCTTCATTCTAGCATAGGGTACCTGGCATGTGGTTAGGTGGGATAAGTGTTCTTCAACTGGAAAGAAGGAATGAATGCATAAATGGAAGGAATAGTGTATATAAAGTATTTAGCATGGTGTCTGGCAGTTAACTGGTAATAGTAGCAATAACTATCACATTTAATAAAATCATGATAAACTGGCTTAGATGATTTTATGGTACTTAAATCTATTTGATTTTCATTTTAAGGTGAAAATCGATTTGCAAGTAACCATGCCTCACAGCTACCCCTGTGTAGCGTTGCAGCTGTTTGGACGGTCACCGGAGCTTGACAGACAGCAGCAGCTACTTCTCAACAAAGGTCTCACTTCCTACATAGGGACGTTTGATCCCGGAGAGCTGTGTGTGTGTGCCGCAATCCAGTGGTTACAGGACAACAGTGCCTCCTATTTCCTGAACAGAAAGCTCGTTTACGAACCATCTACACAAGCAAGGCCAGTTAAGAACACATTTCTCCGAATGTGGATCTACAGCCACCATATATATCAGCAGGACCTGAGGAAAAAGATTTTGGATGTTGGGAAAAGGTTGGATGTGACTGGATTTTGTATGACAGGAAAGCCTGGTATAATTTGTGTGGAGGGCTTCAAAGAGCACTGTGAGGACTTCTGGCACACAATTAGGTACCCCAATTGGAAACACATTTCCTGCAAGCATGCAGAAAGTACTGAGACAGAAGGGGATGGGGAGGACCTGCGCCTGTTCCATTCCTTTGAAGAATTACACCTAGAGGCCCATGGTGACTATGGATTAAGGAACGACTATCACATGAATCTGGGCCAGTTCTTAGAATTCCTAAGAAAACACAAAAGTGAGCATGTTTTCCAGATATTATTTGGTATTGAAAGCAAAAGTTCAGATTCCTAGAAAGCTATTAAAAGGCCTATGCCTGTCATTTCGCCAAGTCAATATTTCTGTCAATAAAACCAAAATAAAAAGGCTGGTGGCTGTTGACCATTCTTATGAGAAACCTAGCTCCAGAATTTCCGCATAGGCCTTTTAACCTTGTACCAGTGCAGTCCTGTTGTTATCTGTATGTTCTTGTGTTAACTGAAAACTACTTAATTGTAACTTAACAAAAGCAGACAGTTTAACCGAGGAAGCAAATTTAATTCGAGAGGAGTCCAAAGCCCACAGTGGATGTCAGTGGTCCAGCTGCAGCTGAGTTCATAGGTAGGAGTGACGCCTCCCCTCCCCCGTCACGATGCTAGCATGCGGTTGGCACAGATGGTGTTTCTTTCATTACTGGAGATGAATTCTAAATCAAGTTTAAAATGAGAACAGAGAGCGTGTTTACTACGTTACTTACTTTATGTTAAAGCCCTTATTCTGAGGTTTTTTTCTTTCAGTAAAAGCAGATCCTGTCTGCAATGGCAGAGGAATGAGCAGCCTCAATAGCGATGAAGACAACCCAAGTTCTTTGGCTGTTTACATCAGCCGATTAATGATACTAATGCTAATGACACCAACATTGTTAGTTCGGTTCTTGTCCACAAAAAATGATTTGTCTACAAAGTGTTCCACAGGTAATGCATCCTGGCGGTGTTTGCCCAGGCACCAGGGCAAGAGCTGCCAGAGTTCCAGTGTAGATGCCCCTGGACTGTCACCTTGGTGGAGGAAAAACATCAAGCTGTACATTTTGGTGATAAGGTCACTGTCCTCTCTTCTGAAAATTCCAAACACCACAGGCTTCACCAGCCTTTTTCAAAATGAGATTTATTTTAATCGTAATAACTCGTACTGAAGTGGCACTTGCCAAAAACCTTTTCATAACCAAGTATCTGCCGCACCCAAGAATTTCCATGAGTCTCCTCTGTGTCCTGGAGTGTCCTGAGCTGCCTCTCTGTGGCTTTCTCTGATTCCCATGGTTTCTGCCTACTACCGCCCTTCCTCAGGGGACATTTCATTCTGCTGGGTCCCAGGCACCCCACCGATGTCCTGGTTCTCTCAGGACATCCCACATTAAAGCAGAAGTATGTTGCCCGTGGACTTGTTTCCGTATATGATGGCTTACACGCTGTCCAGCCCTTCTGAGAACTTGAGAAGGCCTGTCTCAGGTCTCCACGTAACTCTTTGAACTGAACAATTTTCTTTCATTTGCTTTCACCTCAAATAACCCAGTGTTAAGGTGAAAGAATAGGTATTTTCTGAAGAGAGCATGGTTTGCTCAAAAATCCTGCTTTTGTACAGAATCCTGATTTGCCCCAAACTCTGAGTCCACTTGATCTCCCTCATAAGATCCACACAGTAGAACTACCATGTTCTTAGGACTATAAGATGCACCTAGGTTTTCGAGGAGGAAAACAGGAAAGAAACAAGCAAAAAATGTGGTAAAATACTTAATAACCTGTGACCCCACTCCACTGCCCCCTCACAGCGAGCCAGGTAAGCTAGATTCAGACTATAAGATGCATCCCCATTTTCCTCCCAAATTTGGAGGGGAGGAGTATGTCTCATAGTCTGGAAAATACAGTACTTTCACTGCAGCCAGGATCAGCTGGAGAAGCCTTTCTTTTTTTAGACCAGTAAAAGCTAGAAGCTTTTGGATCACCCATAAATGGGTTTGAGTACTGGACCCAAAATTCAAAGAAACCCACCAAACACTCGGTTCCCCCTTAGTCATAAGTGGGACGAAGTACACAATTTGTTGTTATGGAGGGGATGCTCCAGCACACACCAGACTTGGGCTTTCTTTGGACTGACCATCTACCCCGTGGCACAATGGACGTCAGCAGGTGTCCATGGAGCCTGACAGCACCTGTGCTCCTGGTCCTGTGAGCACAGCACTGTCAATGCATTAGACCAGCCTGATGCCCCAGACGACAATGAGAACACTGAGGTCCAGTAACCGGAATTATATTCCGGGACAGTGTCAGAGAGTTAATGAAACATTGATACAAGACAATCTATAATGCTGCTTGTTGAGAGCACAAACTGCTTTGGGGCCCTCTACTTGCTGGAATAAAGGAGAAACAAGTGAAAAATCATTGGCCAAATCAATAGCCACCTACTGATTTGCTCCAACAAAGAGAATCTGTCTGACAGCAGCTGTTATTCCTAAAGATCCATCAGTCTCTTGCACATGACAAAGTCATGTTAATTCCACAGATAGTAAGAATCACACTTCTGCTTATTCTAAAGTTTCTGATGGTGGGACTTACCCATGCAAATTATTTGGTATTTCCTGCCAGAATAATCCTTTTTTAAAATACATTAGGGATCCACTGTGGGGATATTGCCATAGATGATGAAGAACTCCATCCTAACTCTACTGGGAAAATACTAGAAGATGGGTTTATTCCTACGGCATACACTTTGTCACATAGAGTCCTCAGAAATCTGTATTCATTCAGACTATGGCCAGATGATTTCCAAAAGACCTAGTGGTTTTCTTCATGCAGTGCACTGTTGTCCTAGGAAATGCAGCCACAAAGGAAGATGTTGGGAACATCTATATGACAGAGTTCTTCACCTCCATGGTCATTCATTTGTATCTGTGATTGGCAACGTGGTGAGGGCCTTGACACTCAGTCCTGGTGGCTGTGGTCAGGCTTTGCTGCTGCTGTTATACATGTCAAGTAGAACTGTGTGGGTTGCCCACATATTTAGACCTAAGCAAAGCTGATATTCAGCTATTAGATGCTGCTGTGGCTATATCAGTTGTATACACTGGCATGCATTTTTCTTGGTCAGCACTTGTGCTGTCCTAATTGTTACATTTTTCACTAAAACTTCAGGACACAGGCCCTGTGATTTATTGGCCAGCAGCAAAGATTTCTGTAGACTATGCTATTCTGCATAGAGTAGATCTGCTTCTGTTAACATTGTCTCCACCTTGTCTCCAGTTGTTAATTGTTACAAGTGCTGCTGTTAAGGTTCTTATCAAGCCCGAGATTCTGTCATCTCCACTGAAATAAGGGACACATTTTAACCATAGCATTTCCCATAAGCCTCCACAGCTTACAGAGAAGAGTCATTAAAATGCTTTTCATGTCCTCAACAAACATTAGCAAACTGAATTCAACAATACATTAAAAGGATTATACACCATGATTAAGTGAGAGTTATTCCTGGGATTCAAGGACTTTGCAACACCAGCAAATCAACCTTATATGCTGCATTAACAAAATGAAGGATAAGAATAATAAGATCAACTCAAAGATGCAGAAAAAGCATGTAACAAAATTCAAAATCCATTTATGATAAAAACTCAAAAATTATGTATACAGGGAACATACCTCAACATAATAAAGGGCATACATGATGAGCAGAGAACTAATACCATGCTCAATGATAAAAAACTGAAAGCTTTTCCTCTAAGATCAGAAACAAGGCAAGGATGCCCACTCTTGCCACTTTTATTTAACATAGTATTTAAAGTCATAGCAAGAGCAGTTAGGCAAGAAAAAGAAAGTAAAGGCATCCTTTACTTGAGATGTCATGATGTTATATACAAAAAACCCTAAAGATTACCAAAATACAATACTATTAGAACTAATAAACATTCAGTAAAGTTGCAAGATATAAAATCAATATTCAAAAATCTGTTGATTTCTGTACAGTAGTAATAAACTATAAGAAAGAAAAATTAAGAAAAGTATCTCATTTATAATTGTATCAAAAGGAATAAAATACCTAGGAATAAACTGACCTGAGGAGATGAAACACCTGTACACCAAAAACAACAGGACACTGATGAAAGATATTGAAGATGCAAATAAACAGAAAGATATTCCATGCTCAATGCCTGAAAAAATTAATATTGTTAAAGTGTCCATAATACTCAAAGCAATCTACAGATTCAATGCAATCCCTATCCCAATTCTAATAACATTTTTCACAGAAATTAATTCTAAACTTTGTATGGAACCACAAAAGATTCCAAATAGCCAAAGCAATCAACAAGGCTGGAGACATCGCACACCCTGATCTCAGATTATACTACAAGGCTACAGTCACCAAAATGGGATGGTGTTGGCATGAAAAGAGACACGTATATCAGTGAAGCTGAACAGAGATCCCAGAAATAAGCCCACACAAATAGAGTCAATTAATCATGACAAATGAGCCAAGAATATACCTGGGGAAAGGACAGTCTCTTCGATAAATGGTCCTGGAAAACAGGACCACTACACAAAAATATACTCAACATGGATTAAAGAGTTGAATGAAAGACCTGAAACTATAAATCTCCTAGAAGAAAACATAGGAAGCAAACCTCTCGACACTGGTTTTGTTGATAATTTTTTGAATTTGATACCAAAAACAAAGGCAATGAAATAAGTACACAAATAAGGTCCGGGCACAGTACACACAAAGGTCCTTGTCCTGTCTGACAAGGTCCGGGCACAGAGGACTCGAGTTCAAGGAATTTGTCTCCCCAGAGGAGAACGTGGCATCCAAAATGGGTTAACAATTGGCTGTTTTATTTCCATTATTTTACTCTTGCTACTGAATATAGACATTGTACTGTACTTACTTATTCCTGCAAAAATCACCCAAGAGGAGGGAACAGTTTAGGGGAAAACATTAGTATTCCCCACAGAACTGCCTGAAAGGATGGAAAAATCCCCACAGATTTCCCTTTCCCTTATACAGGGGAGTACAACAGCCAGGGTAATATAATTGTTAACCATAAGGGAAAACATGTCAAGTTGTGTAAATTACCCTGGTCTGAACAACTTAAAGTGATCAGGACCGCCATGGTGTACCAGAAATAAGAAAAACAAGTTAGATCTCTTAAATCAACAGTTAAGGCCAGTTAATAAAGAACCAGGTTATTGTTGCAAACACAGGTTGTGCTGCCAGCAGTTGAGGGAATGGAAAAACAGATTAGAAAGACTTTCCCACAACTGTTCCTTACCCACAGATACAAAGGGTCTTCCAAGAAGACAAGTAAAAACTACATAGACCCCTACCCACAGCCCAGGGATACGGTTGGGACGGTTGAGATTCATCT